AATTTTGTCTGGCCAATAAAAATTCGTAAGATCCGAAGGGAATTGCGATACGTTGTAATTTGGGTTTCGAACTACGTGGAAAGACCCGTATCTCATTATTGGTATGGTATAAACAAAACTTTCGAAAGATACAGGTTTTATCTTGCAAAGCCCCATTACTATGAGATAACATGAATTATGATGACATAGGATTGGCTCTTTTGATGTTTATAGTAAGTTTATACAGCTATAAATTACACAACTAAACATTTTTAATGTAAAAACAAAGTTTTAGTACTGAGACAATTACCGAAACGTCAGATTAATGAGCTGAAAACGAGTTCAAAATTTTGCTACTCCCTCCTTCAAAAGACGATTCAATGGACGACTTTTAATATTCTTATTCATATTATGCTCCTATACCTTACGCAACAAGTTGTTCTTGGTGTTTAAGCATATCTTATCGAACGTTTCTAAATAGACAAGACATTGAGTGGCGAAGTTTGAATTGCTTTCCACCCATCTTAAGAATGGCATTTTATCAGCAACATACGATAACTAAATTATAGTGCATTGGGTATTAGGTAAACCAAAACACTTCAATTTAAAATGACACAAAATCAAACAAAAAATGAAATTCTTTCCAACCAAAACATTTAAAGGCCTCACCAAACCCCTACCCAATGTTTTCAAAATAGCTATATGTGAAACTTTTCAATCTAATTTAAGAAAGTTGATTTTGAAGCTATTTTTGTGAAAATGTGAATTTACTTCAAATGAGATTTTAGTTGTCGCGCACATATTTCGTGAAGAAATACACTAACTTGTCGTCGAACAAAAAATCAGGAAATTGGTCGAAAAATAAACAAGAAAAACTTTTTTTCAATATAAATGTGTCAACAAAATTGCTTTATTTTGATAGCTCGATCAGCATATTCAGAAACTATTTGCATAAGAAAAATGGGAATGGGAGAATGAAAAATATTGCCACTGAGTGACATTATAACGTATCATCGTGACATCACAACTTTTTAAAAATGCTTTAAAAGTTTTTACTTGTATAATGCATAAAATCATTGATTTAAAACTTAGTTTAAATGCGGTTAATTTTTCCTGGTGTATACAATGGAGTATATAAATTAAAGTGTTGTGTGAGTTAGTATTTGATGATCTAAAATAGTAACCTTTGTTTCTTAAATGGCGGGAAATACAAATACTTGAAAGCTATAAGATGAACATTTTTTCAAAAGTCACATTTTTATGAAAAGTAATATTTGAATGATTAAATCATATCTTTACACGAGGCCTTTATGGAATGTTTTCTGCTTCATTATTCGTATTTTACAATATGTATTCGTATATTGAACTTTTGAATTTGTTAAAAGTACATTTATGTTCGTAACTTGAGTATTTTAATTCATTGTTTGTATTTTCTGTTCGTTAATCTAATTTGTTTCGTTAAAACGTATATGTAGGTGTTTTATACAGAAATACATTCAAAAGTCCTCAAAACCATTTGTAAGTGACACATTGTATATCCGTATTCAAATAAATTTAAGTTCATTTTTACCATTATCGTTGTTTCTGCAAATATATTAGTTTAATATCTACGAACTGAATGTCAAATTTATCAATGTATAAGTACTTGCCTTGGCATTTCATTTTTTAATTGTCGAATTTATTTTCGTAACAAGGTAATATGTTTCTGTAAAAGTGCACATTTACTGTTCGTAAATATTGTCAATTGTATTCGTAAATTGCAGTTTATATATTCGTTTTTCATTGGTTCATTAAGATCACGTGATCATTCTCAACGAGACATGGTCAAGACATGGTCAAAGTCATCACCCCTCCCTCTCACACACCTAAAACTCTCGTGTCACGTGACCTATGCCCCGAGACTTGCAGTTTATATTCGTAAACTCACATTTGTATTCGTAAACACTCACATTTATATTCGTAAAGTTTCATTTTATTATTCGTTAATGTACGAATATTTCTTTGCTTTCTGCAATAATTCATGGGTAATTTGCAAGATTATTATTCGTAAAATACATTTCTGCGATAAAATAACTGGCAACTTATTTGAAATTTACGAATTATAAACTGTAGTTGGCGAATAATAAATTGCTAGTTACAAATATTTCCAGTCCTTACAAACATAAAATACACCCGATTTAGGGAATTATTTGTCTATTTGATACATCATATATGTATTTGTAACTTAGGCATTTTATTTGTAAATGTTACATTAATATTCGTATAAGGGAATTTATCACAAACGAATAATGAAGCAGTTATGACGCTATAGGCCTTTAAGGCTTTTACCCCCCTAAGTATTGTGTTAGATAGGTTAACAAGGGACGCCCATAGTATCGTTATGTTAGTTGTTCTTATCTAAAGGGTGGATATCATCCCGACCCTCCAGAGAGAGGTAGTATTTAGGGTCGACTAGTGATAGTCACTTTGATTCTTAACTAGATAACATCAATTCAATTGACAAGAAAAATGTTCGCCCGAGCAGAGATCTTTGCCCATAATGCACTCATTGTAAGATTTTAACCAAAAACCAATAACTAATATTTAGGCAACGACCTGGCACACAAATCGACAGACATGGATACTGAGGGACAGCAATCTTGTACACTACCTCATAATATGCTTTGGGTAAGAGCAACCATACAATCTTTACACAAAGATCAATCTTTAGACTAACATTTGAATAGACGGCTTCTCTGTACATCCGTAGTCGGATTTCACTCCAAGATTTGAACTGAATTTAAGAGTGCATGCAATATGAATCTGTTCCTGAAAAAATAAAGCGGTCTGAGTAGTTTCGGCTGTGGCACCTTCAGGCATTGAAGGAGTTATGCTGACCAGTTTACCATGAAAAGTGTTATCTATAAATACGTTCATTTTCTGCCATTTCCTGAATTATTTTAGCCTCCATACAACATACTCTTGCTGTTTCGATCATTGCAAACATCTGAATGCCTGACATGTCTGGGAGAAAAACAACATTCCAACATCGATCTTAATACAACCCCTTACAGGGTCAAGACCATCGCCATTTCGAGAAACCAATTTTGAGTTAATAATAGCATGCGCCTAACTAAAATAGAAAATGTAAACTAAGATAAAAAATAGTACTTTACATTTATCACTTTCCTATCATAGTGATAGGCGGTGTTTTGTTTAAAGGCAATTTTGGCGATGCCATGCAAAATTAGCTAATTGCTCTGTACTAATATGAATTTTTAAGTGCACGTCAAATCCGGCCTTCATGGTTACTCTGACATTCTTATATTACTACGGGGTGTACTTTTATGAATAAAGTGCCTGATAGCAAATCTAATCTAGTCAGAACACCTCATGGATCTATTATCTAACTTCAGAAATAATCTTTTAATACTTGATATTGTTATTGTTAGAACACATATTGAAAATCTTGTGTCTATTGTTTTTGCCAGTTTTCTTCTTTCTTTCTTTTCTTCTAGTTTTCTCGCCAACTAGAAAACCTTACGTTAGCCTGGTTGTATTGTTAACAAACAAATGTGTCTGAGATGGAGGGATATTAGGTCAATTTTTTAATCAAGGTCAAAGCTCAAAAACAAGGCCGAATCTTATATTTTCCTACATTTTTCAATATTCTCGGCCATCCTTCAATATTTTATTTTACCTTTTATTAGATCATCCAAAATGTCATTTGTATAACTATAATATTGAGAGGTCTAAGAAAATGTTGTATATGCTATTTTGTTCTAACAAGGTTCGGAAAGACATTTTATTTCATTCCCAAGAATTGGTAGAAAGGACCAAAAGACAATGGCACTAAAAACAGTTATATAAAATATATAAAAAAGATTTTCGCATTAAATTGTTGTCAATATGTCAACATTGCATGACCGTGTTTTGTACAGAGTGTTTTCAATAATTGGTTTAAGAGAAAAACATTTTTGAATTCAATTCACCATATCGATACCTATACTAACCTATCGTGTTATCTTAGGCAAATACATTTTACTATGGAAATAATCTCTAAGAAATATTCTGTATTCTCTGTATTGTTACTGAGATTATCCCCTCCGTTCCAATATTTTCTGTATTGCTACTGAGATGAACAATGGGGACAATCTCAGTAGCAATACAGATTGATACAGCAGAATAACAACCAATCAGAGGGCTTCATTTTACAGATCCTACGATAAAGATTTCTACGACACAAGAACTGGTCAATCAGAGGGCTTCATTTTACATGCAGTGTGCTCGAGAAATTCTGTATTCACACGAGACGAAGTCGAGTGCCAATACAGAACATCGAGAGTAGAATATATCCTGTATTGCATTTCAAATCATTCTATAACATTTATCGTATGATCTCAGTAGCATTACAGATTGGTATATAGAACATAAGAGCTGACCAATCAGAGGGCTTTATTTTACAGATCATACGATAAATTGGTCCCTCCGTAGAACATAAGAGCTGACCAATCAGAGGGCTTTGTTTTACAGATCATACGATAAATTGGTGCCTCCGTAGAACATAAGAGCTGACCAATCAGAGGGATTTTATTTTACAGATCATACGATAAATTGGTGCCTCCGTAGAACATAAGAGCTGACCAATCAAAGGGCTTTATTTTACAGATCATACGATAAATTGGTGCCTCTGTAGCAATAAAACGCAACCGCGTCTCTGTTAGAAAAGGAAGTAACTAAATAATTTGTCGCTTCGTGATGTTGTTGGTTGAATGCTTATTATTTAGACAATGTGCTAACTGCATGCATACGATTAGGGATTAGGGAAAACAAAATATCTTACAAAAATCTGCTATTTACCGAAGATAGGCCATCTTGTTGTAGACGCGTTGGTTTGGTAATAGCTTGAAACCAAGTGCCTGTCAACGATTCATTGAAAACATGCTTTATCGGAGTTTTCCATTTTTATTGCAATGAAAGTTTGAAGTCATTGTAAATTTTGTAAATTTTGTAGTACCTGTAGTAATAACAGAATAACTTGCTACATTTGTAATTTCTAAATTGTTTATTTCATCAATCCATACAAATTTGATATCAATGATGACTTGAGATGTGGACGGGCATTTCATCGTGAAGTGTTGTACGAGTTGGACAGGACTCAATATGTAGACAACAAACGGCGCATGCGTATGTACACATCAAAACATCATCGACAGGATTCGTTTCAAATCGAACATAGGGTCAGGTGTGTTCGATTCAATGACGATACTAAACATCGAACAATGTTCTTTTTTATTGCATCTGAAAAGCCTTGAATATTAGTCCGGGAATTAGTTCTCGTTAAGTTCTATTGTTACGATATTATTATTTCTTCCCAGGTGGAGGGGGTGGTAAAGGTGGAGCTGGGCCAGCAGGGTCTGAAGCACTTGGTGGAAGGGAACCTCCACCTGGTAAAGTGATATCATCCATATCTGCAGCGACGCACATCACAGCGGACTCGTTAAAGGCCTGAACACCCTTAATCTGCTCATCGGTCCAACAGTCCCGACAAACGGACATCTGAAAGACCCCAGAAAAAAAAATAAACATTCATACAATGAATTGAGAAATGAATGGAATATGTGGAACGACTGACGTAACTAGGTCATTAGAATTTTTACTTTTTATTTGAGGACGAATTCTGTGACAGCATTTTTGAAATGGTACAACTGATTCACACATATATACGATTCAGAAGGCATTTGTCCAAACCTGAATATTCAGAGCATGTTAATAATGTAATGTACACTCACATTGTCAATGCAGGCTTTAGCACTTGTACCTTCAATATCGTTGAATTTGCCAATCGTCAGTGGATGGTCAGTGCTCAGTACATTACCTAGTATGAAGTTAAATACGATTAAGTCTTCTCTTAATGAGAGGAAAATGCAATGTGGTCTCACATTATCGTAACTTGGCAGTATAACAACCAGAGAGCACCAATGCATCACAACCCGAAGATGTTTATATCACGGATATGGCCGAAGATGCTTCAATGAACCAATTTAATTCCTTGAAGGGTTAGATTTTCGGTTGCAATACAAGCATGTTCGGCCATCTTCGAATGAAGATTTTAATATCACGAAAATGGCCGAAGTCAAAGTCTTTGATGGCTTAGGGTTAGATCTTCGTCCATCTACGACTGCGGTCCAATTATTACAACCACATTTCTATCGGGGATTGACTAGTAATGTTCATATAATAGGATGACCATAATCCTTAAAGAAACAGCATTTTTGAAACGGTTCTTAGTCATTCATACATAATGGCCAGTAGATATATAAATCTGTACTTTGTAAGAATACTATATGTATTTTGAGCTCTATTGGTGAATATTCTCGCAGGTAATACGAGAAAATGGTCATCAAAAGAAAATAGAAGGGGCATTCATGTCAAAATTACTTTCTTTGGAAGACAATCGGAACATAATAGAGAATTATTTACCTCCCAGTCCTACAGATTCATCAATCACTACACAGGATTTGTTGTTGACGCAAACCTTAAGTTCACCGTCACAGTATACAACTGTGATGTCATGATGCTGCCTATTCAAAATCCTTTGATTCGAATATACCACAGGGTCTGCAGCAGGCTGGAAGGTTACTTTCAATTGTATGCACACAAAACACACATGCATACATGTGTATTTTTATAATTAGTCTCAATCTGTGCTACAATTCATTATAACTAAAACACGAAACCTGTGTTATGGTACAGAATAATGTTATTTCCAGAACATGGTATATTTAAGTAAAACTCATCCATAAGTTTGAAGGTACCAACTGGATAGAGTTTTAAATCCTTTTAATGCTTGGATATTTATTTTGTTACTCAATTAATAGTTCAAATCGGCAACGATTAACAGGCTTTAACAAAGTATTTCTGATTCATAAGTCTTGAACGGGAGTACAATGTGACTATGGTATGTATCAGAGAAAGTAACTCAGACCTTGAACAGGTACAATTGAACACTATTATGTTCTGAGCAATGTGATCATAATTAGGTGGTAAATCTCTACTTACGTCTTCGGGATATTGAACGATATAGTTTTCAAGTTCACCATTTTCTGTTCTGAAGTTCAAATAAAGGTATGAACCTAACAGGTAGAGTTCAATAGACCCTGGCTCTCCACATCCTCCATTGGTGAACAATCCCTGTATGCTGTCCAGCTCGATGTCGGAACCGGCAGGCAGGTTATCAACAATGGGATAGAAGAAAAAGTTGATGGAGAACTTACTGCCATAATACATGTTCTCAAACACAGGAAACTCGATGTAGCTGTCACTGGAAATATAATTTGGGTAAGATGTCTTAGTTTGGACAGGCTGTGTGTCAGACAATGCGTTGAATGAATAGTGAGTACATGTATATTCCAATTATCATGGAATATTCTAGAAAAATATATATTGCATGGTTATTTGAGTGTCGCTTACTCTCCACCGAGGCATCCAAAATGACCAGGAGAGTCCCCTGCGTTCTGTGCTGCGTATGAATTGATCCTAACACCTTCATGAGCAACGAAGTTCCTATTGACAATATCCCTCACTTTGTCATTCTCAAATGGTAGACAGAAAATGCAGTCACATGGACATGGACCTGAAATATATCGGTTCATATTACACGTACAACTTTTTATGATGCGTTTACAATGCAAACTTATATTTGTCTGTTATACCGAGGATATTTCTAAAGATAATATGACGCAATCTTTATTTGACACATCTCCTGTGGACAACAAATATTTCAGATAAATCCTGACCTCTTTAGATGAACCGACGAAATTAAGATACTGTTAGCTAGATTTCTGATGTCAAACATTGCAGGCAGCAAAGTTTGCAAAAGTACTTTTTGAGAATTAGCAATAAGTTATCTATATCTGCCTTGAAACTGAAATACACTCTTAGACACAATCTCTCTAAGCAAAAACTAATTCCTATTCAGAAATGCTTGGGCATAAATACCAGCACCAAAGAGAAAGTATTTTGAAAACAATATATGCAAAACCCATACGAGCTTAACAAGAATCAGTAAGCAATATGGTCTAACGTCACTCCAAAAGCAAATGCGCGACACATACATACCGTTCATTCCAACGCAACGACATTCGTCAAGGCTGAACTCGAAATCAGGTGGACAGGAAGCATGTCTGGAGTTGTTTGGGTCAATACCGTAGTGGTCTACGTAGTAAAGTTGAGGATTTGTGGGGTGTTTGGTGTAAATGTTTCCATACCTAACACAATCATCTACAATGAGAATTTAAACATAAGCAGGAGCGTTACAATACCCGGCAATTTACCTCTTCGGTTCGTGCAGTGCATGATTAATATGTTTTTCATCATAAGATAGGATTGAAATTTCATGGCAAATTTCCTCTGTATTGCAAAATTACAATATAATTCAAATTATTCATTAATTTGCATACCAGCTTACCCTCTATCAATTTACTTATGCTTTCCAAAAAATATAACTACAGAAAAACTAGGGCATGCTGTTTCATCCTTGCTTTTGCTTGTATGACTGTAATTGTTCTGTAAATACGATTTAACGAAATGATAAACAGCCAAGGCTAATCAGTACATAATCCAAATACTATTAAGTGTTACCTTCGGTGAGAACATCTGTTGGAACTGGCACGGTCCACGGGTTTGGATCACCTTAAAAGAGGCAACATCGTTTTTCAGACAATGTCTTTTACCTCGCGAAATTATTTGCATATACTTCATTGTTTCATTCTAGCATCATATTTTCTATCATGTGTGAAACCGAAAGCTATACATCTATCTATTGACAAAACAAGGAAAAGATCATAAGAACTAGAAGCTACACCCCTCTTAATCTACTGTTGGATGGAGCGTTCTTCTCACGGAATCTTAGCTATATCATTGATAAAAAGAATACTGCACTACGTCAAAAAGTTTGTATCTCTATGGTACATTGGGATACCAATATATCGGATATCATAATGCGCATGCGCACTCACCATGACACGACTCATCGCATCCATCAACGTGGAATGCAAAATCACAGGTACCCTGGTCTTGGTTCCAGACCAATGGGTACATGCATGTTTGGTTGAAGCCAGCATACGTGAAACCCAGTGGTTTACAAGCGATATACGCACAGCAATTGTTTGGATCGGCGAAATATCCCCCACCGGGTAATCCTTCGCATTTTTCTTCACAGAAAGCTGGAATTTAAAATACGATACGATAATTACATAAAACGTTTTAATAAACGCTTTTTATATCCTTTATGTTCAATTCTTATTTAGAAGTAGAAGTTTTCAAAAACAAAATGCTAACTTACCTGCTAGATCATCTACAATGTAAACAAATCAAAATATGAGTATCATTACATTGTTTCCATATTTTTAGTTGATGGTCACACGTATCTACAGTCACATAATATTAACCTTACGAGAACAAGAAAATGATAACTCATTTTATTTAAACACACAATTAAAATTTATATTTTAAGCTATTGAAAACACATACAACTGTCAGATCCATTCACCCAATACGAGCCAACAACATTTTATACACACGAAAACACACACATGTGTCATATACATGTTATATTTTCAATATCCGAATCCTATATGAAAAAAACTACAAAAATCTTTTAAAATGATGATGTAAATGTTGCTTCTTATCTAGGTGACAGCATTGATTATATATAGTTACAATGAATTCACAGAGGAATCGTGGGTTGTTCTCAGGCTGCGAATACAGAATTCTAGAATTTTCCACGTTCTTCACTATAAATCAGGATGGTTCATTGGTTAACAGCACTTCATAATCTTTAAAACTTATAAAATTAATATTTCTTAAGACACTGATAATCTATGTCATAATTAGATCTAGCAATTTATTGTGATATTCCTTACTAATTATATACTTATATACACAAAATCTCATGCAGCGTTAGTCTTATTTTGACGTTTAGACATGTACTTACCTGAGGTGGATTATGTAAATATTTTGTAGACATGTCATTCCTTGGAAATTGTAGTTCAGTATAATAAGTACTTCCAATATTAAGCGGTCAGTGTCGAAACTTTCAGAAAACTAAGTTACATATTGATTTGACACGTTGTGTATTTTTCCACAATGATAATTAACGCCAATCAAATTGACATTCGATTGATTTTATTAAGGCGACGTTTTGCTTAATGGCGAATCGTATGATTTCCGATGTAATTCTAATATTTCAAAGGGGACTTATGATGTCATCAGATTTTTCAATGATCGAGAGACAATAATAACAACGTAAAGGTTGTTTGAAAATATCCAACAAAAAACAAGTAAACATCTGGGCATCATTTAAGAAGGGTAATCGTTTCTAATTGTCATCAAAATAATATCATCAGTCAAAAGTAAATTAGTAATACCAATTCTTTTGCTAGATGATTTTTTTAATTATCAAGAACATGATTGAACAAGTAAGTAGCATAGATCCCTGTATTACTCCAACATTTATTCCGTAAGAAGGATTGATCCTTTAAATTTCAGACGTGCTTTTGATTTTTCATCCAAACTCGAGTTAGCCGCTTGTAAGGTTCCATTTCAAGTACGAAGAAGGTATATCAAGGTATAGCAAGTACATTTTTGTTGACTCTGTTTTACATTTTGGACTGAGATTAATATATAGAGGATGGTGGTCAGAATCTTAATGTCTTTCATGTACTTGGAAGTCTGAATCACATTGAGTTTACCAGGCTGAACTGTAACATTGTGTATCAGGGATTTCTCTTTACTTCTTGGACCTATGTTATTTTTACTGGTTTCTAGACAACGCATCCCAAGACAAGTCATCCCTAAGACAAGTCATCCCAAGACAAGTCATCCCTAAGACAACTCATCCCAAGACATCTCATCCCAAGACAACTCATCCCAAGACATCTCATCCCAAGACAACTCATCCCACTAGTATTATTGATAAAATTTAAAATCCCTTTTTCATTTTTACGATTACAAAGTGATGTTTGATTATACACTCAATCTAAATATTGATAAGTTTTAGCATTTTGAAATGGCACTTGAAAGTTATGTTCTACTTTCACGTCCCGGTATTTTTTATTAATTCTGGGTTATTCTCAAATTCTCAATATATTTGAGAATATAGAATAGAAAATAAAAATCAAAGACATAATTTCCATATTCATTCATCATGATTCTGAAAGTTTAAAATTGGAAATCTTATTTAAGAATAAGCCAAATATGACATATTGGAATTAAGCAAAATATTTTAAAACAAAGATGACTGACTTAATCTGGGAGCTTTATTCTGATAATACCTCGGATAATACATTCTTATTAGGTTAATCCTAATCTGACAGCCTTGATTATCTTTGATTTAATAATGAAAGTATATATTAATTTGAACATGTTTATCTTTATCCCAATCAATCAACAAAAAATTAACTAAAACTAGACTAAACTAACTAAAATACAAACGATATTCCATGGCCAAACAGAGTGTGCTTACTGCTAAAATCTCTAAATATGTTTCAAATAATCTTTCAAAAATTGAAATTAATTGTATAAAATTATGTTATATTTCAAGTTGGGAAGAGTTGTCTTGGGGATGAGTTGTCTTGGGATGAGATGTCTTGGGATGGGATGTCTTGGGATGAGTTGTCTTGGGATGAGATGTCTTGGGATGAGTTGTCTTGGGATGAGATGTCTTGGGGATGACTTGTCTTGGGATGAGTTGTCTTAGGGATGAGTTGTCCTGTTACCTTTTTACGGTTACATACTGGTATTTTGTCCATTGAAAAAGATAATGAAGAAGGGGTAATTGGTTCATAAGGATCATAAAGCATTTATGATGATCATTTGATTCATGAATGCCATTCAAAACTATATAGGCAGCACGAGCATTCGAATTTCTAGAAGTTTCGGCGTATCAGTGGCGCCATGTAGTTTGTTATTGTTGAGACAAACTGGGGTTTAACAACTTCTCACAGAAAGAAAAAATGGCAAAATTACGTTACTTTGTAAAATTGACATGAGGAATCCATTTACTGAATGTGTTTGGGGCCAGGGTGTCTTTTAGGGATATATTCTGGGTTCTTGGATCACATTTTCACTTGCAAAGCGATCGTGCGCACTGGTTCATAAAAGTCGACAACAGTAGTCAACCGGATATATTACCATAGTTTCCGGTACCATGGTCTCTGATATTCTGCTGGCCAGAATCAAATCATTTTAAAAAATGTGTGCTATGATGCTTCGTTGAAAAACTGGAATTGGTGTTTTTCCTTTTTTATTTTTCAGTTTTTTCCGTAGACGAGTTCATTAATGAACTCTTCTCTTCCAATTAACAAAGCAATATTTCAACCGGCCTTGAAGTAAAAAGGTCAATTGGACTAAGTGATAATCCGTCGATCCGCCTCGGTTGTTTACCGAGAAATTCCATTTTTAAGATGTGTAACATATTGCACTTCAATAGAGCTAGTACAATTCTTAAACAAGAACACTATTTTTACTATGTTAAAAAGTATATTGTAAAAATATATATTCATAAAGAATACGTTTATGTATAAAATTGCGTGGCGGGTCTCACAATCTGAATCACATGTTTTCAACTATTTTTGTAATTTTAAATACTGTTGAATAACTATGTTCAGAAAATGCCAAAGGTTCATATGAAAAGTAAACACTTTCAGGGAACGCAAATGTAAAATGTACTTATTCCGAACGTATTGTAACATTTAGCATGCTACAAATCTATACCCTGAAGGTCAAAACAATTCTCTTCTGTTGAAGTTTATGTTCTTTGTGATTGATTTATCACGTTAAAAACAAGCTACCAATATTAACATGCAGACAAAGTTAATCGTAACAGGTAAGTTTATTTATTATTTCATCTTTAGTTAACACGTCTTAACAATAATCAAAAAGTCAAAGGCAATATTTTGAAAACGTCATGATGTCATTGTTGTTAATGTGTGTTTCTTAGTCAGTTTTGCCAACTATCTCAAATGATAAGTTAAGTATGTAATGTACTGCAGCTGATCCTTCATGATAGAAATACGTATTAGCACCACTGCTACAATTGACACCGTGGTTGAATGTCCCCTTGAATTACTTATACAATATTAGTATGTCAGGGATAAATATACCCTACTCATATATTTGCCTGTAAATTAATTTGGAATGTTCTAATAGCATAATTAAGTTTTAACCTTGACCTCAACTTTATCCTTAACGGGGTTTATAGTGAGTTGACATACCATGACCCAAATGTGACAAAAGTTAACTTTGTTTTTGATTTATTGAATTTGCAGGTTAACGGATTTTTATGCAATATATCCAGCGGATAAATCCAACTCAGAACAAAACGATGACACAAGCATTCGAACACAATACTTCACAACACAAAATCGCAATTTAGCCATACTCAAATATTGCGAAGTAATGAGGAGAAATCATTCAGGACATCATTATTACAATATGAACATTGTAGTCGAACTTTTATTCGATTAAATTGTTAAACTACCAAAAATAAAATACATTTAATTCTCGTAATCAGTTTTATCCAAGAAAGAAAAACAATACTATGGTCCATGATAATGCATTATAGTTTAGTTTTAATATAATCCTATATAATGTTTCTATGTAGAGATATAATTGTAATTTTAATTAGCATTGCATGGTATGATACGCCTCGAAATTTTGATTAAAATGTACATAGTATTCTTTTTCATTTTCTTGATAAAAACTGTAACATGCGTTTGTTTGCAATTGATTGCATGGTTGAGATGTGTGTGACGATGATGGGAAAGGGGATGAGAAATGGATGAGTGAATGTATTGTGTGAATAGTGTTCGAATTGTTGCAGACACCTTAAGATATTGTGCACCATATCCCAACTAACATATTTAATTTCAGGGACTAATAACCATATTTTTATTTACTTTTCTCCAGATTTAGATCTATTGGGTGAGTAGACTTGTTCACTTGAATTGCAATTGAATTACGAAGTGGAATCACAAGCACTTCTTATTTTGACACTTTCACATTAAACCCTTATTTCAATTAAAGCCAATTAAGTATTTATGAATGATAATCATAACACTATACCAGTATTTCTAGAATTTAATTAGAATATCTCTCTGCATGTGTTATAATGTGACGATCTGTAAGGTTTACTCTCAGGTAAACATTTTCCGTAAAGAGTTTTGTAGATTACAATGTGGAAACCAACGTCATGGAATTTTCCCCGATCCAACTGGAAGTTGCTGTCACTATGTCACGTGTCATGGAAATGGTTTCGGTTTCTTCGTTGGTGAAAGGTGAGTCAATAGGTACACCCTCAGAAGAAGGATGAACTATGGTGAAACGATCAACTCCACAGAATACTACGATATTGTGTAATTACGATGCGCATCGCCTCATCCTCCTGAATTAATGTTGATCATGCGCACTCGAACGTTCCTCCAAGATCGCACTAGGTCAACTTTGTTGGGACTGGAGAAAATCAGTTTCCTCAAAATGGTCAGCACGAATATCACCCTGCCTTTGGCTATTTGATTCATTGTTATCCCATCAACGCTACAATGGCTGTTACTGTTCTAATCCTTGTGGTATATGTTTTAACCTAAATAAAAATCCATCCTCATATACTCGGTAGACATTATGTCTCATGATTGATACACATATGGCGCACTGAAAGCCATGTCGACGGGGAATCGTCAGATAAGTTTATTCAATTCAATAAAACCCTAATAAGGAAAATGCTCTTGATTTTAGGCAGGCGTGTATGGAACCTTTAGTTTGGAACCCAGTAGCCGGGGCATGCGACTATGCATCAGATGTACCCGGATGTGACTCCAGTTGTCATGGTAAAATGCAATTCACTAGCCTGTACTGACATCTATACAGATGTGATTTTATAATGTGGCACAGCACGTAAATGAAATTTAATTCGTTATGGAACTCGTCAATGGAAGGATCGAAAGGATAATATACGACTTATGGTCAAATCGTTTATTAAATGTATTGATCTGTTTTTCAGAATTTATCGATGTGGCCCCACTCCCAACTGCTGGAACACTTTTGACTGGTAAGTTACCCCCAAAATAATGAGTCGTTAATGCCAATGACCCACACTTGAACAATGCTGTTACATACCTTTATGGGTATCAATGGATTTCCCTTCAGTTTTTCCATGATAATATTAAGGATGCATAAATTCAAGTAAAAGTACACATCATGTCAACCTCAAGTATTTCTTCCTGTGTATATTCTACTGTCATTAAAATGATTTTTCCCAAATATAAAAGTACTTTACTTTCTTTAATACAGACCAATGCTTCAAGAATGGGCGGACGTATACATTTGATGACAGTGTAGACTCTGGGGGAACCTGTTACTACGTGGACAATGAGATCATGAAAAACTGCTGTCCCTTTGGACAAATGTTTGATTTGGAAGAATGTGCATGTCTTGGTGAAATGATTGGTAAGAGTTGAACCATTGTGAACTCGTTCAGATGTTTCTGACCTGATTAATACATTTTGGTAGTTTAAACCAAAGAGATATCCTGCGACTGGTAAAGTCTTTTTTTAATTATAGAACAGGATCAGAATACACATTTCGATATTTTAAAGAAAATAAGTATTTGAAAATAAATTAGGAAAGGTAATTTCTGAAAATATAATGGAAAAATCTGATTATAATGGCCTGGATGTAGGATTAAACTTATGGTGTTGTTGTATATACATTATACAACTGATCCCTTCATTGAATCATCACATCAGTTGTCTGACTATCTGTCTATGTACGGCGGCCACTTTCCCTCTTTTCAGCTGAAAGACCAAATTGCGAGTGTGTGGCATGGTTTACATTCGACACAAACTTCGAAGACAGTTTGTTCGATATATTTTCGGGTAGAAAACGTGCAACGATCGATGAGAACGAGGGTCAGTTTGGGGGCTCTGCGGTCTTCAGTGGCGAGGGCCACATGTTTATCCCATACTTCAATAACTTCTACTTTGGAGAGAGAATCAGCGTAGCTCTGTGGTTCAGGACTTCGACCACAACAGTCCAAGGTTTATTGACCAATGGATGCTGTAACCAACCCCCTACTGTTGAAATACGTTGTGATAGTGGCAGTGTGACGATCACTTTGGATGTAATGGCTGGTGCCAAGTCTATAACGTTCTCAGTAAGTATCTCATAGTTGTTTATGCGAAATTTCAAGTTTATTTTTGGTTGACATTTGACTCGTTGTTCTAAGGATACATTGAGACATAGGATAGCACAATCAAGACCCTTGAACTTTTGCATGTTCAGTCGTACCACATCAATCTACTTACCAGCCAACCAAAAAGTCCCAAATCCTCCGCTGCCAGTGCTTACTTTACAATTCGACTGGCCATCGAAACTAATTAAATCTAAAATCTAAATACCCCGGGGAAATCCCTCAATACTATAACAAGAACAAAATATGCACACCCTCATCTAAGATACAATGGTTGCATAAAATATAGTTATGTCTTGTCAATCCAGTGTGAATATTACAGTTTCAATAGAGTTCACCATATTTATAAAATGCCAATCGTAAACACGTGTAACTCATTCTTAGGGAGCTTCTCCTGATAGCTGGCAGCATGTAGCGTTTACATATGACGGACAATCATTTACTGCGTACCACAATGGGAATGTTGTAGAGACTCTACCTTTACGTGGCCCTATTCTGACCAACAAATGCGACGTAACAATAGGAAGAGGACGTGATGATCCACCCGGAAGCTTCCTTGAAGGAGCAGTCGATGAGGTAAATGGTCAACAGACATATTTGTGTGTTGTCAATACAATAAGATAACAGAAAATATATTTTCAGATTCAGTATCCTAACATAACACTCTATTGTACTTCAAGCGAACTTAAAATAAGTGATTCTTGTCACATTAAATTTATCGTATATTATATTGTATAGTTTCTTATTCAAAAGTAACTTTGCTATTTTCAATTTTAGTTTGTTGTGTGTCAATCTGTGTGGAGTGAATCAGACATATTAGGAATATTCCAATCAAACGATGTGCCTACTGTTGATAATTAATACTCGCAAAAAAGAAAGTTTCAAAGAAAAACTCTAGGAATCAAAGCGACGATCATATTTTAGGCGATTGTCAAATATTAGAATAAGAAAACTGAATCAATATGAAATAAATGATAATCTCTCGACCTAATCTATTTGTTTTTGATTTAAAAAATACTTTAAAAAATAAAGACTGTGTTTAATGAGAGTACAAAAACCATGGCTTGGATGGTTGTTTTTTAATTGAAAGCAAGTAGAAAATAATCATCCTGAATTCTAATATAAAGCTAAATCAAAGTTGTTCGACAATGGCGTTACACAACAGGAATTGCTTCGTATCGAGGCATTTTGACTAAAAGCTTCGTAACGACGAATTGTAGACTGAGATGTTACGTACAAAAGGTCGAGAACTCCTTCGTTAAGAAGCTTTTGTTATCATACTACCTAACGAATCACTTCCATCCTCTGCCCTTGTTACAAGTACCAATGCCATCTTTTAAGAACTAGGGTGGAAATCTGCATGTTTATGAAATTATTAATCTTAACCCCTTGTGTTAGACTTAGGCCAACTTAATTTCAATGTATTTTATCTTCATTGTCAATGTGTTATCAACAGAGAGGCTACACGTTTTAAAGAGAGCGTGAAGATTAACCTCCCTATTGTATGACGTTCTTTTTTATTTGCCATGAACAATCTCAAAGGGTTTATTAAAATCTATATACATTGGAATTCGACAGAGCATCTGCAACAATTTTCCAGTTCAAATAATGCAATTCAGAATTTTAAGAACTCATGCACTTAGTGAACAGCCCCTATTTTTAATGTTGCTAACAATAGAAATGCAACAAGTCAAATTATCTACTCACTGATAGCTTAAAAGAATGGTTGCCATGGAGACGAAATTACTGATATTTGAGATGACTTAAAATGTGTTTTTAAGACGCTGGTAAATATGGAAACGTAGATAAGACATGAACTATTAATGAGCGAGATTACGTTAGGTCATACGTTAACTAAATGTACTTTAATTAATTTAATGTACTATTTGTTTTTTTCCCAGGGCATGGAGCTTCTCCAACAAATCATATCCTTGTCAAAGCGCCAATTAACGTTGTTGATGTTTCTATTTTTATTGTACTAAAATGGCAATAATACATCACAATAGGTATGCTGCAACCTTAAAAGCTAATAGATATTGCACCTTCAATCGATAGTTTATTTTGTAACCCATTATATCAGAAATATTCTGAATTATTATATACCTCAAATGTATTCTAGATGCTCATTGGCTTATTCATGGTCACATGACATGGAATAGATGAACTAATTCCCTGGAAAGTCCTAAATCCCTGCTTTCAGGGAAGATGAATTGTACTAATCACCAGTTAGGTCATGTGACCAGTCAATAGTACATTTTATCTTCCCCCAAATCTGAGATTATAGGAGTTGAAAGGTAAAATGCCTTTAAATGCCAATAAGAACCTGTGAACATTTGATATTGAAATGAAAAGACTTCTCATTTTGTTTTTGTTTACAGAGTACTTATCAGGTATATAATAAAACAAATAGTGACTGCCACATTTTCGGGAAATAGTGTAAAAAATTTCCTCTCGGGAATATCCTGTCCACTGACTTGTCAGTGGACAGGATATTCCCTTGAGGAAAATATTTTGCACTATTCCCCTCAATGGCAGTCACTATTTGTACAATATTTTCTCTGTGGTGAATTGATGACACATTTTCGATGACCTAAAGTAGTGCTGTGAGTCTTTGTTTTAATACAGTAGCTGTTATATTATATTTTCTAAGAAGTCTTCTTGTCTTTTTTAATATCTTCTCCTTTCTACTACTGTCGAGGACTGGCTCGTCAAGCAGGGCATCTGCAAATGATCTTTGGAATCTAAACATATTAGACTTTGCATTATGCCCTTTACAAACACCGTTCTCACAGTTGCACTTGAACAATTTATGCTTTGGACGATCACACGATCTTTCAGCTCCATCAAAGTCATCAAAATCTATCAGTCGTATTCTATTATCCTTACCCATAAGAACGTGCTTTTCACCAAACTCTAATGCTAGAATGGAACCTAATCGAGACTCCTCTAAATACTGTAGCATGTCACTCATATCTATCGCAATGGCAAGTCGCTGTTCCCAGTCTAAGAGTTCGATATTTTGAATTGTTAATTTTTCTGCGTATTCGTATACTGCTACAACACCCGACTTTGTTGATAAATTATCTGAGTCCTCACTTTCCACAGTCTCTCCTTTAGCACAAAACCCGACAAGTCGGATTAAATTTGGGTGATTCAGTTGCATTGCTATCAAAATGCCTTTCATTATTTTCATAAGGGGAAGTGCAGTACATGTTCTAGCATGGCCTGCCGCTACCTCCCATGACTTGAGATTCCCTACGCAATCTTTAACGCTAATCACATCCTTAGTCACAAACTGCACAGCGTACTCCTCTCCTTTGTACTTCCCTAAATACGTCTCTTTGGTAACCCCTTTACCCATAGGCTTAACGAGTTCAATTTCTCCGATATTGTTGCAATCAAATGCAAAACTACTCTTGTCTGGAGGCAATGTAATTGTTGCACGTCTGTTAACGATTGCTTCTGTGTCGTGATTGTCAATAACACTTCGTTCCCCTTGTAAATCCATTAATCTATAATGATAGAGAACAACTAACAGAAAGAAAACGCATTTATTACCATTTATTTTCAATGGTTGTATAGCCGCCATTTTGTTTTTAAGCGAGACTCTCACGTGAACGAGATCGCGAGTAGAAAAGGAAATAGTTACGGTAAGAAGTCAAATGGTGACCATTACTTGTAACAAATTACTTTTTAGTAATGCCCTTTCGCATTATTGTTACAGATACAATAATTTATGTTTGGCAAATAAACGTTCTTCTTGATTAAAAGGTTGCCAGTACAAGAAATGTCGAGTGAAGCCATTCCGTTTTAGACACATTTTATGAATATCCTAATTAGACACGTACACATTTTAGTGATAATATCCAGGAACATTGCATTATGATATATTGATGGTAAAAGTCATTGATATATAAGTCATTTGTCAAAAGTACACCTCAAAGCGTTTTAGTCATTAGCCTATCCATCAATGTCCGTTCAACAAAAGCCTAACGCATTTTCAGAGGACCGTAATGGCGGACTTTTAAGCTAGGATAACGGCCAAATTTAACTTTTATGTTAATTAACATTTCACATATTGTTTCATGAGGATTAATTCAAGCCTATAATGCTAATTATTCAAAAATGGAGTATTGAAACTATCACATAGTATGGTATGGAATATATTCGTAAACTTGACTGAAAGAAAAACGCAGTTAAAAGTATGTGCAGGGCTGCCATAAGGTAAGTAAAATGATATGTTAACTATAAACAACATTTATTTGCTCTTATAATTAATTAAAATCCATTCTTGGATTAATCATGTGGTTCAAATCATTTGAGAATCACCAGCGTGATAATTTACAAATCTGGTAGCCATCTTGTAAAATGTGAACACGTGGTACGTTGTCATGATAATGCTTCAATTAAATGGGCGTTTCACGTTATTTGTATTTTGCTATTGTTTTTTCTTGTATTCGGACTGTTTGCTCTTTCTTCGATTCGAATTCAAATTAACGATTATATATTCATATATTAAAACGATGGCCCTTCCTTTAACCACGTTCATCGGATATATAAGGAGTATCGTTGCTATCTCTTTATTGACTAGTATGTATACTGTGTGTAGGATCAACAGGCTATTTCAATGGTTGTAATTTCTAAATGCTGCCCTTTGTTTTTTGATTAAGAATAGGAAATGGAGTGCGATGTACATGTAAAGGATGAGTTAAACCTAATGTCTGCGTGTGATTGACCCCCTCGAATTTTTCAACAGTGGTAGTTTTTGCAAGATTTTTTGTGTCCCCATTATTTGCTTGAGCTTGTTTAGCTTGAACCACAGATATATGACGCTTTTTGACGTAAAAATCAACGTGATTTGGGGTAGACGGGCAAAATCGTGATAGTTGGAACTTGATTCCAATAAAATCCAATGAAATATTGATAGTAGCCTTGTTTCTAATATTCTAAAAAATGCAAAGTCATGAGTATTGCTCTGTTTGGTAGATAATCATTTATCATATTAAATGTTCCTTCTATTATGCTTAACAACATGAAAATCTAGCCAATATCGACTATGTTTATGAATCTTTAAAGGTGAGAAGTCGCCAAGTATTCGCGAAATGCGTTCTTTTCACGAATTTGATACAAAAAGTGTTTTCAAAAAACTACTCGATGAATACCTTTAATTGATTTGCTGTTTGCAAAGGTTCATGTGCGGTATGGCAAGTGATTTTAGACGGTCATATCTTTTACTATGAGTACTTTTTGAGCATAAATACAGTAGTTTTTATGAAAACAACATGTTTTCTTCCAAGTGAAGTACCCATAATAGTAAAATATCAATCCAACTCTCTGAAAAGTTGTGGTTTGGGACCCCACCTTGGCACTTTTTGAAACATTTTAGACTTATTTTCTAAAAAGAGGATCTTGTTTTTATCAATTTAAACATATTGAAAGTTTCTTCGACACTATATTAACAATATCTGAAAAGGGGATTTGTATTGAAATGCGTTAAAGTTAAAAAACACATATCCCATGTTATTTCCCCATAGAGAAAACTCGTGCTATCCATTGTGCTATCCATTGAAAATTGATATCTTCAAAACTAGACTTTCAATACCATCCTACTTTTGAAGAAGTTTTAGACCCCTTGTTGAATAATATTTTCATGCAGTACAAATCAGAAAAGGAAGATTCTTTTTTGAGTAAATGGGTTCAACATTTTGATATAATTGTTGACATGGGCTCCATATTCATAATTTTTCGAATTGTTTGATAGATATCTTTAACTCCATGGGTACTTCACTTGGAAGAAAACATATTGTTTGAATAAAAACCATTGTATTTATGGCCAGAAAGTACTCATTGGGAGAGATATGACTGTCTAAAATCACTTGCCATACTGCACATGGACCTTTCGGAATGCTTGTGCACTCTGTTATTACAGAATAATGATGATACCTTTTCAAAATTCTCCCAATTTTTCAATTTCACTAATTCGATGTACAGGGTGGTCAAAAAAATGGAAACCCTAATTCCATTTTCCTTATATCTTTGTCATTTTAAGAAATAACTCCCTGATATTTTGGACTTATGTACATCATTCAATTTGCTACCAGCCTACTTTATTTTCTGACCATCAGCTTGATAGTCACAATGTTACAGTACTTTAAAAACATGCCCCAGTGGCCACTATAGAGTATATGAGAATGACCTCAGGACAATTGCAACCCTCAAAAGTGAGATCATTCATGTCATTCAGGCCGTACCTGCTGAGGAATGCATTCGGGTCATTGACAACTGTGCTGTTTTGCCTACAGCGGGATGATGGCCAAATCTGAAGCATGTTATTCAAAGTGCTGTAAAATTGTGACTATCAGTCTGGTGGTCATGAAATATGATAGGGTGGTAGGAAATTGAATGATGTACAAATGTGTGAAAATTAAATCTGACACTTGTTCCAAACACTCATGTCTCTCCATTCAAACATCCAATAAAAAATATAGTCAAAATAAATTGACGCTCAAAGCTCAAAATGTCATAAAATTAAATCATTTTTTTCTGAAAATTCTTCTTCAAACTTCTGAACAGTATGTTACAATTATAATATTTATATCTATAGTAATTCCCGGTCCAACGCTTGATTCAAAACAAAATATGTACTTAGGTACGAGTTGTCTTGGGTACCAGTTATCTTGGGTACGACTTGTCTTGGGTACCAGTTGACCAGTTATCACACAACACCATATGAGTCCAGTAGCCATGGTACTATTTTGTTAATAGTATCGCCAAAGGTTTAAATCCTCTGACCATGTAACATAAATAAACAGAAGAATAAATAAATGCTTCTAAAAATATGAGATGGTATATTTTGTATATTTGGTCAACAAATTCTACTACATTCAAGTAATATAACGTTTCTTTGGTCTGACGAAATGTTAACTGCTATCCATGTGCACATCTCCCGGGGAATACCATCGTTAATTTTACACCAACACTTGGTTTCTGAAATAAAGGTAGACAAATCAACTTAATGGCGATTATATTTAAAATATTCAATAATAAACTCAACTGACGCAATATAAACTGTATAATAGAACACATCATAACAGGTGTCACCGATTCTTGCCAACCCGAATACGCATTGCAACAATCTTTCCAAGGTCATTTGTTGAATGATTGTCAAAGTGACCAATTGAAATTGATACTTTGTCAGCTTGACCCTTGTAAAACGTTATATTGAAAACATGTCATTTTGTAACACCCTGAATGGATGATAATAAATCCACAATATCTTTCTATAACGCTCATATGCTGGTATGCTTGTTCATAGTTTGAAGACAGTTCACCTCATTTTTACTTATTTTATAAAATATTTTACTCTTATTTTCTCTCTCTCAACTAAGAGTGGTGTAAGTTCAAATGTATTCGGTGCCAGCACAACCTATATACTTTGTCTGTTCGATCACAATATGGGAGAATTTGGCACCCATTGCTGACAAAAATAAACCTCAGTAAATCCCTGAGTATTTTGGAATACTTTTTATGTAGTTCAATCTCCATTTGCTTTGGGCAAAGAAGTGAATAAATCAGAATTTGTATTCACAAAATAACCAAATGAACCTTATAATAACATATGTACTATTCAATTATTCTGCCCAACGAGAAAACTGAGCATGAAGCTAATGAACTTTATATGTTGTGTGGTGAATCCAATTTGATATGTTTTTTTTCAGGAGGTAAGAACGGCCATGCAGAATAGGGATTACGAAATATTGATAATGACTACATAGATCTTTGGGTCTCACTGCAAGTGTCGTAAAATTACGGACGTATGGTAGGTAATTTCAATGTGTACATCAATCAGCAAGTTTTTTGTGTTAAGTATCCCAATAAACATAAATGGGCATTGGCTCAATATGAAACATGTCCATGGGTAACATATATTGACAGAAATATTATATTTTACGTTAAGTTGATAGTAGTTATTTTAGGTTTTCTTTGAATCTTACAAAAGTTGGTTATCTTAATCTGCAGACAAAAGAAACTGTAATTAATCTATTATAATTTCAGATTTTTTTGCACATAAAGATCAATGGATCAAATGTTGGATATTTTGCGGTAGAAAAATGTTGTCAGATCATAACACACTTGTTTCCTGTCTCAAAGCAAGGATTTGTTACTAGTATAGTAATTAATTTAACGTTCATGGTTAGATTTTAATCATATATAACAGCGGCTCGATTATTAATTTGATCCGGGTATATTTTGACGTTTGATTATAAGTATTTCGATCATTTTCCAGATTTTCTGCTTGTATGGGATAAAGTGAAATAGGCGTGCAACGATATTGATGGAGGGACTGAAGACTGTCATAGTAAATGATTTCAAACAGGTATTCAACACGTTCTTATTTAACTAAAATGCATAAGCAATGGTTACGAAGTTACTAGATTAGTACAACAATATACATAGATCTTTGCATACACATAGCATACCAGTATCTTCTGAATAATATACACAGTGAAAATAACGTAACCAAACTTTACATTTTAATCTAAAATATCATCAAAGTCTAAAACCAAATACCCCTTTGGACAATAAAAACAACTTTAGGATTTATTTGAAATATTGCTCCTTCTACCTAAAAAACGTGTCACAATAGTATCCGTAATTTTCTCTCAATAAGTGGATATTCAAGTAAATTCACCATGTAGACAATGTGCCCTTGAACATTTCAAAAAGAAAAGTCATAATTTAAGGGGCTTTGTCCCGGAACTTATCTAACCTTGTATACTCACGGATATTGCATGCATCTACTACACCAGATAACCTTTGATATTTCATAATTTTAGGCGATGTTTTGACGTCAAAATGTGTTCTCATTCTTGTACGGGATGGGGATCACTTGGACGAGAATTACAATGGCTGGCCAGTCAATATAAGATCGGAAAAGTTTTGAAATGGTGTAGTAGGGTCATTTTTGTGTTGATATCAACGACATTAAACGAGTTCATTTTGTTGCCAACACAGCGGGTAATCATAACCAATGATGTATATATTGGAAATATTGCTCATTTGTTCTTTCAAATAGCTTAATAAGGACAAAAATCAAAGTTTGTTTCAAATATGAATTCGGACAACCTAACATATATAATGTATCAAATCCGGGCATTATCTCCAACATGTTAATGATATACTATATATTTGCGACCATCTCCCAAAAGTTTTCTTTATTTTATGACAAGCTGCAGTGAACGAGTAAAGACTAGTGATGCAGATCAATAATGACAACATTAACTGGCATAGTATTTACCAACGGTTTTCTTTGACTTCTCACAATGCGTTGGTTTTATTTTTATTCTTGCATTTTAATTTGATCTCTCGTCATATCTTTTTAAATTACATTTCATAAACCAATATACGTCACAACAGTAGTTTCCGAATGTTTTGTATTATGAATACTTTGGAATAAAAAATAATTTGATATTTATCCTGTTTAAAAAGAGTAGGAGCACATGGCACCCAGACTCATATAAATGTATGAAATGATGTACTCAGTGATCAAATGTTCATTTAAAGTTTTTGATTTCCAAGCCATTTGAAAGAAAGATCAATCATAGAAAGGTTCACATAAGTTATCGCAGACGGTTATATATCTTGGATTATAACTATTTTCTGACCATGAAGACAGGTATATCTTTAAGATCCATTCATTATCTCAAAGAAAATAATATACAATAATAATAGAGTCAATCGGACTCGGAGATATTTAACTAGCAATCAACCCATCAACACACTTTTTCAAAGATGTTGACCTCATTTTCACCAAAAATGTAATCATTTTTTTACAGTGTTTAATGCATTGCTATTTATTTTGATGTATCAATTAGTTAGGGAAACTGAATTCCTCTAAGATTATTGTTCCCTGTGTTACTTGCCCATTGAAAAAAACTCAATGATATATACTATCCGTTGGTTTCAGCTCATTTCATGTTTAAGTCCCTGGAGGAATCCACTTTTCCTTTTGGGAGATAGGACGTATCTCAAAAAGCACATTCTAATTATGCATTTAACATTATAATAAAATAAAAGGTTGCATTTTTAGTGAAAATTAGATCATCATTTTTGAAAAAGTGTGTCGATTGGTCCGTTGTCCCTTTAATATCACTTAGTCTGATTGGTTTCTAGACAACTCATCCCAAGACAAGTCATCCCTAAGACAACTCATCCCAAGACATCTCATCCCAAGACAACTCATCCCAAGACATCTCATCCCAAGTCAACTCATCCCACTTGTATAATTGATAAATTATTTTGTCCTTTATACTATATATATCCCTTTTTCATTTTTATGATTACAGAGTGATTTTTAATTACACACTCAATTTTTAATACTGATTTTTAGGATTTTGAAATGGCAGTTATGTTTTACTTGTAAGTACTGCCGCTATGTTGATTAATTCTGGGTTATTCTAAATATATTTGAGAATATAGAATTGAACATAAAAGTCATAGACATTATTTCCAAATTTAATCATCATAAATCTGAAAGTTTGAAATTGGCAATCCTATTTAGGATTAAGCCAAAATATTTAAAACAAAGACTGAATTAATCTGAGAGAGTTTTCTTAGGGATGACGGCTTTGCGAACGGATGATGACAGTTTGAATTGTATGGACTTCGAGACTCGATTTTATCTATCCCATATCATTTGAGACTGAATACTCTTTTATGAGTACTAGATAGTATCTACAACTATTTTTGATGTTATGAGTATTGGCTATCAATTTTTTCAATTTTTCTTCAACGTGTATTGTAATGACTTCAGTATGAATGAAATGTCCCTTGGTGTTCTGGTCCTGGATTGTAATATTGGCTCTCGATTGGAGGGGGGAGGAGGATGTTAGACATTTGTTTCTTTTCACGTAAGATCATGGTTTTTGGGATATATAGGGTCTACTTTTCTTATGACAGATTTACACTTTGCTATTCTTGTTGCGTTTCTTTAAAGTTTTTAGTCATCCTTCCCTTTGGCATTTGCGCTTATATATTGGATAATACTTTCCAACTGAGTTAATCCTACACCTTTGATGATCTTTGATTTAATAATCAAAGTAAATATTAATTTGAACATGTTTATTTTATCCCAATCAGTCAACAGAAATTAACTAAAACTAAGCTACACTAACTACAAAATACAAAAATATTAAGTAAATACAGCATGACAAAATATGAAATGTGTCAGTTTAAAATACAGCATGAAAAATGTATATAATGAAAAACAAAACAATGATATTCCATGACCAGTGTGCTAACTGCTAAAGTCTCTAAATATTTTTCATTCTTTCAAAAGTGAAAATTTATTGTATAAAATTATGTTATATTTCAAGTTGGGAAAAGTTGTCTTGGGGATGAGTTGTCTTGGGATGAGATGTCTTGGGATGAGTTGTCTTGGGATGAGATATCTTGGGATGAGTTGTCTTGGGATGAGATGTCTTGGGGATGAGTTGTCTTGGGATGAGTTGTCTTAGGGATGAGTTGTCCTGTTACCCCTGTCTGAGTAACTTAATTATCCCTATTTATACTTTTCGTGAAGATAATGAATGGGTCTAAAAAGACACACACGCAGTCATGATCAGAAAATATTATTTCATATTTCAGATTAGAATCGTCTGAAATTGGTTGAGGGAGGGAGAGCGATTCCCGTTAATCAATGTTCAAACAAGGTAACTAGGTAATTGTGCACTTGAATAAGATAATCCAAAAAAAACAACATTTTACTTAAATTAATCGACAAACAATAAATTAACAAAATAAGAAATATCTTCCGAGATACATATTAATATATATATATAATTTATATAACGAACATGTATTCTCTTGGAGCTAATGCTGACCAAAATGCCGAAGTATTTAGTAATGAAATCTCGTCTTAGGGTAAACATATAAGCTCAATACAGCAAAGGGGAATACATAATCATGTTATTCAAAACAAGCATTATAGTCTTATCAGAATGCTAGCAATAGCAATGTTCTCTTTGTAACTCACTTACCCCTATCCTGGTCATATTCAGTGTCGTCAACACATGTACCAGGTTTATCGTTGATTTGGCCATTTCTACGGACGGTGACATTGTTGCCTGTGTGTATGTAAAATCGTTTTTGGACCTCGAAGATCAAACGATCTCGAAGATCAAATTTCAATGTTCATTATATTCCATATAAATGTCGACTTGTAGATGTAAATACTTACCAATCAATTCATTTTGAGATATTTAATCAAAGTTTTCCTAAATTCAGTGTCAGTCGAATAACATCCTCTTTTGATAGCATTTTCAAGATATAAGTGCGCTTTCTTTAAGATAATTTAATGAACTTACCTTAAGTAAGTAAATCTAACATCAGTAAATCCATTAATTGTCCAACTCAATGTATAGTTTAAAATAGACTGATGTAGTATAACTGATCTGCTTTAACATTGTTAAATCACTTTTGATATTTCTTAGCAGCCAGAGGTAATTGATCGCATTTACCTAATAGTCTGCAATGAAATAAATTACATTGTACTTGAAATTGACCTTGATTTATATACTTTAAAGGTCATTAAATGTACTTTTATTCAGAAGAGTGACGGGAATCCCACAAATATGTATACTTTATTGAAGCAAAGGAAAATATATTAAAGTTTTCTCTCAAAAAAAAGAAAGTGAATAGCAGTTGTCTACATGTCTCTTTGAACTAACTGGCTGCTAGGGAATCAATGACCACCATTCAATCAATGACCACAATTCAATGAACATTCTTCAATAACTTCACTATTTAAAAAACTAAAAAACTAAAAAAATAAATAAATATTTCATGATAAGATATTATGAATCTTTTTCCGGATACTCTTTTGATTAGTACGTTATTCATTTCTAGGCTCGAACACTGATATGATTTGCTGTACCTTATGCTGTGTGAAGCAGTGTTTTCGACATAAATCTAATGCGCATATGGTATTTAACTACAAAGCTGAGTTAAGATAAAAATCTGTATATTTAAATATTATGATTGTTGCTCACGGTGCATGTTGCGTATGTGTTATATACATTTAAAAGATTTGGAATTCTGAAAATACTATTTGTATAAATATATATATAAATGATCTTGAAAGAAATAGTAAACGTCAAAACACTGTGTTACTTCTTTGGCTAATAAATAATGCTTTTTGAGCCTAGCCAACAAGTAATAAAATTGATGATTTTGTGAAATAAAATAAAACTATATAACTTTATGCATTTATTTCAGCAATACTTGATGCTGTAAACGCAACGGAACTATCGGGTAATACACATTTGTTTTTACTTAAAAAGGAGCGACGTTCTTTGTGCGCCCTTATGTGTGTTGTAATTGACGTTCATGTAATTCTTCTTACACAAGGAACGTCGCTATTTATGCCTGAGTCACATTCGCACATTTGGACAAAATACTTAATCGACTGAGCGCGTTGGCTGATAAATCTGAGCAAATGTGACTCGGACATAACACACAATTAACAATTGTCCTAGGCCTGATTTTGTTCCAGTCAAGTCATAATATCGATCAAGTATTACGATAGCAATGATTATTCTTCCATGCAGAGTGCTGTGTCAAAATGGATATCATAATTTTTCAAATTTTGTCCGCATCGGCCAATCACAAATAAGAACAATATGTTTATGATAATTCTAGTCCAAGTCGAAGTAATCGCGCAGACTTTACATCTAATGGCATGTTTAATATTTAATATGTGATATTTTTATATAGGTTTTGCACTATGCTTACTAACACGTTATAATATGTTTTTCTAGAATTCTGTGAAACTAAATGTAATGGATTAAATGGAGGGTACTTTGCATTTGAGGGAGACTGTTGCAGATTTATAGTTTGTCAGCTAACACAAAGTAGGTGAGTGGGAGAGAAATGCAAATGACTATCCTTGTTGTTGACTAACAGGCTCGTAGCCAGGGGGTTCGCAGGGTTCGGGCGAACCCCCCCCCCCCACTCCCCCTGGCCAAAAAATCGTTCAAAATCATGCAGTTTTTCACCATTTCGAGCACTTCTCAAGTGATTTTAGCCATATTTGGGCCAAAATTGTCAAATGTGAACCCCCCCTGGAAATTTTTGAAAACTTAACCCCCCTCCCCTTGGCAAATCCTGGCTACGGGCCTGACTAAAGATAGTGTGTGTCATAATGACTACTAACGACCCCCTTTCCCCCTTGATGCTCTGTCATCTCTAGAGGTTTTGTTTACATTTATTAGTGGACATGCCCCAATCGATACACTAGTTCATGTTTAAATGGAACTGGCAACTGGTGACAAGTACTTCTCAGATGATAGTACACAATTTCTTGACTCTTCCTTTCTCAGTCATTTTTCGTATAGTTGCACCGATTAGTTTAAATCGTGTGGTTTGGAAAAAAGATAATAGTTGATACATTGCATTGGCTATTTAATTTCAAATGTCTCATTTATTACTAAGATTTGGACCTGGTCAATACATTGGCTACAATCAAACATGTATGTACCCACTTGTATGGGACGACGAAATTGGGGCATGTAATGATGCTAAGAATGTTGAGGGATGTACTGAGGACTGTCATAGTAAGCATTTCTCAATTTCATACTATAGGTAGCAGTTTATCACGTGATATTTATGGATCGTATCTTCAAATTGAAAGAATTAGTTGAGAAGTTTGCTAATGAAAGGTTGTGTAATAACCTCAAGTAATGTGTATCCCTTATGAGTCACTAAATATGGACTATGTATTTATATATCAAAGCATACCACACTCCAATCTAGTGTAGCAGACACAAATTACTTTGTATAGTACTATGGATTAACATTTTATTGCATACCATGTTTTGAACGGGCGTTTTGAACATGTAGAGGGACACCTATAATTTCACTGGCGACTTGTCTCTCTTGTATGTACTCATTTGTATAAAAATAAAAATAAAAATAAAATGACTGTTTTGAGTTACGTCTATATGATATGTAGGTATTGCTTTGTAACTAAACCTAAATATTTGAAGTTGATTGTTAGCATCTTTGTTTTCAGCTCCACCAGAACCAACGCCATTTGTTACTCAATATGTTGTTAAGAATGCATCAAGTGAGTATTCATCTTAATTTTAATGTACAGTGATGACATTTAAAGCCAAGAATCAATCAATTGATAGTGATTTTGATACACGAGCTGAGTATAAGCATTATATCGAGACCAAATGTTATACAAAAACTTCAACCACAATCTATAACTCAGTCGTGTGCTTAAGTTCCTTTCACATAGCAGTGTCCAAAGACTTATTTACAGTCTGCATCAACCATGCTTTTACTTGTCTTATTATTTTATTAATAGTTTTCACATAAGATTATATTTTCCTCATTATAAATACAAAAATGGCTTATATAATACATTTATTTTATTTTCAAGGCGAATGTTACTCAAACAACCATGTATATAGTTACATGTCTACTGACCCCCAATGTTTCTTTGTGGATGAGAACTTTGAATCGTTGGTTTGCTGCGGAATATACAGCGTATTTGACCTAGAGGAATGCGCTTGTGTTGGTCCCTCTGGTAAGTGAATGGGGAAGTTGAAATACATGTTGTTTTAGAAACGTGTACGCGAACATGTAGAATTACGGTCCTCTGTTGGTTAATTCTCCCATGTGTACTGTTTACTTTGCCGGTGAATATAACGGTATACCGAAAATAATTGTAATTAGGTCCAGTAAAAGTGAATTGAGAGCGGGACAGTAATCTCCGGGGGTCGAAATGTAGGTTCTTTTGTCGATCAAGCCCATTTTTAAAAGAATATTGTTTATTAAGTTGGTTCCATTATTTCAAAGAAGATCAATAATAAGATATGCAATTTAGGATTTCAATTTTTGATTAAACAACCACCGTGATTTGAGATGGTTTGTTGCAAATTTTGATTCCTAAATGTAACGATCTTTGAGACAAGGAACGCCAATACAGCCCATATAAATCAGCAATGCATCATTACATTCAAAGCTGAAGAAGATCCTGATTTTCTTAATTAATATAATCAAAAAAAATCTCGACCTTTTTAGAGTATTTGTATTTATGAACACCTTCAAGAGTTTAAGGGAAAATTTATAAGTGTTCATCCGTTGAGTTGTCTGCTTCATACAATCCACTGATATTTGCATGTATGGTTTCTAAAAAGGTCAAGTGATTCGAATTTTGCTCCATTAACAACACCTGTACTGTATTATTCATATTGTTGTGATCACCTTCCATTGGAAAACAGGGACCTGACTTTTAACTTCATGTAAAGGCAATACTGAATTTGTAGAAGTAACCTGTCAAATTGATTGAATTGATTTTTCACCGATTTGCACAAGTGGGTACTGTGGGTCAACTTATACATTTTGATAACATACTAAAACTACGGATGGGCAAATATCAATAAGGGGGTCATTACCATCATGACCACTTGGAAAACGATTCCTTGGTATACTCCTCTTCTGACATCATCACACAGCCTGGTAAATTGTGAAGTATGCTTAGGGTTTTTATGAAAAATAGCATGCTCTGTCACAGCAGACAAATTTTTCGATACCAGCCTGTGATTATTATATGCATGGTTTTAACAATTAACTAGTCCTTCAGGGGACCAAATGATTTAGATAATTCCCATAGTTGCTTCGATTGTGTTGCTGACCTCATTCAATTCAGTAACGTAATATCAAACTTTACTACGGAAGTTTTTTGAGTGCAGAAACTTCCTAAAATTCCTCAATTAGTTGTTATATCCTCATGGCTATAATGACGTAATATTAGATACGGTCGGTGCTTATTTATGTTATGGTTGTACATCGATATATTGACATTGTCCATTATGTAAATAACAATAGTTCATTTACAGGCCGTAGTGAATGCGACTGCATACTCTGCCTGCCATTTGTGAACAATAGAGTACAGGATATCATCCATGATACATACACTGAAGTTAGGGGCGTCACTATAAGTGATGCTGGTGTTAAGGGACCAGATGATCTCGACATATTCCAAGGTTGCTTCGACGGTATTGATGACTACATTCGTATTAGTAACTTCATCAAACTTTACTATGGACCAACGTTTTCGATAAGCTTCAGTTTCTACGTTGACCCTGACTATGATCGAAGTAAGAAGAATGGCATTTTGAGCAATGGATGCTGCGATGAACAGGGTTCAATTGAAGTTAAGGTTGATGGTGAAAAGCTGAATGTTCGCTTTGAAACCGAATTCGGTCTCTATGATAAAGACATACTGGTGAGTCTGTTTGAATTATGTCTGACTTTTTTCAAAGTATCATTATGTCATCTTATTTTTTCTTATTTAGATATTGAGCAGGATTATCATAGAGGGTGAACATCAAATTATAATTAATCGACGTTTTTTCTACTTTTGCTAATTTGATAGTTTATGATTTTAATAACTGATAGTTGAATTTACACTGAAATCAAGCGGCCTTTATACAGTTTTTTATATTATTCAATTTTATTTGTCTGCTTTGACTCCCATCAGGCGCATCTCAAGCTGGCGTGCATAAATACTTTAAAGACAGTCTAATTGACTTTGTAGCCTTTTTAGTCCATGTTGTTCAAAGTGGAGTAGTACAATTGAATATCACTGGGCATAGTTAAATTAAACATCACATATACGTATCCTCAGGACCCAGCTGGTAAAACTCTCGAAACAGGCGTTCTCAGAGATGTGACCATAAGATATTGTGGACCGACACTTGATATTTTTTATGATGGGGAGAAGGTTGATACATCGATTCTTGGAGGTGTGTATGTCTATAAAATGTCACATCTACTGCTATTTGGTACCATGCATGTATTAAGCTTCCTCCATAGCCTAGTGTTGTTCACATATATTTAATATACAGTAACTATGATTGATAAATCTTTATAATTAAACGACTCTGACTGTTTTTGGCGGTTGCACAGTAACACTTTAGTGCGTTCAATAATTGATTGCGACTTTATTTTCAATAAATGAACCATAAAAACTAAAAAAAAACACTTTATTTTGACATTTAGAAAACATTGTACAGGAATGAAGAGCAATCATTCACGTATAACAAGAACAAACAGGGTGCATTATCATGGTCCTTTCTGTATCAATGAAATTACATTGAATCATAGTGAATCATTATATCTGAAGGTGGTAATTCTAGGTGATGCAGTGACATCCGATTGTCCCCTCATCCTTGGACGTGATGGAGATGATGAAGACACATATTTCAAAGGATGTCTTGTCAATGTAAGATTCTTTCGTGTATTAATTATTCACAAGAATGTACAGGGTGTTAAAAAACGCTACCCAAAGAAATCGCTATAAATTTGAAAAATACTGTTCAATTATGTTCATTTTTCCAGGAAAGAAAGAAGAGACTGTGTATGTATATCTCCTGCAGATGGTTAGTCACCTCTGACTGCGTTTTTCGTATTTTCCTTGTACAACTGTCTTTTGAGCAGGTGTCCAAGGCATCATGTTTTACAACTTACTAACAATAACAACAGTATTTTCTTTCTTTTCCTGAAAAAGATAACATAATTGAATTAGTATTTTCCAAGATATAGCGATTTTCCATTCGCGTTTTCGTATTTTTCTAATAATAATGTCTTTTGAGCAGATGTCCAAGACATCATGTTGTACAACTAACTAACAACAAAAACTATTCATACATACACAGTCTCTTCCTTCCTTTCTGAAAAAAATGAACACAATTGGATCAGTATTTTCCAAGATATAGTGATTTCTTTGGGTTGCGTTTTTTAACACCCTACACATCGTAGATTACGACATCTCCAACTAAAGGTACGTTCACACCAACGGCGAATGCCACGCTTTAAATCGGCGAGCAAAGCGCCGTCATTTTTGTCATTTTTCTTCATACCAACGGCGCTTTGATGGCGCTTTAAAGCGGCTTGTAAAGCGGCACCAAAGCGTAACAAAGTTTGATTAAAGCGTCGGGGTCGTAATAGGTCGTAGAAAAGCTCAGAGTAAAACGGGATATTCGGCAAGAGCGCCAAAAAATTTTAAACTCTTAAAAAATTTTGGGCGCTCTGTTACGAATCGATTAAGCGCCGAGAGCGTATCAAAGCTTAACAAACCGTAACAAAGCTCAGAAAAACTTGATCCAAAGCGTAGGAAAGCTTAACATAGCTCTAAAAGGTTCCTCACGCTTTGATCCCGCTTTGATCAGGCTTTGTTACGCTTGAAATCACGCTTTGAAAAGCTTTGATAAGCATTATTACGCTTTGATGCGATTATGACGCTTTAAATCAGGCTCTGATACGATTGCAAAACTCTGTTGTGCATTGTTACGCTCTGTTAAGCTCTGTCACGCATTGGAAAATGTCGAGATCGCCGATTCCATGCCGCTTTTGATCCAATGACTATATAAAGATGCAGTAGATCCATAAAACCATTGCATCTTTGACTCGAGAACACGATGGCAGAACAACGAGATCCAGAAATTCCAGATGGACCAGAGCATGACCTATCTGAAGAAGACATGACGTTTGTCGCACGGCGTGATATAGCGTGTGAAAACTTTCAAGCGTAACAAAGCCTAGCAAAGCGTTTCAATCCTTGATTAAAGCGTCTCAATTCGTTGGAAAGCTTGAGAGTCCCTCAGGAAAGTGTAACAAAGAGTGTCAGATATTGATGAAAGCGTCTGACCTCGTGTCAGATCTTCATGCCAGATCGTAGCAAATCTTGAGACATCTTAACGAAGCGTGTCAAGTGGTAACAGACCGTGAATAGACTGGGGTCCCCGCTTTGAACCAAGCTGTGTTAAGCTTTCCTACGCTTTGAGTCAAGCTTTGTTGAGCTTTGTTACGGTTTGTTAAGCTTTGATACGCTCTCGGCGCTTCAATCAATTCGTAACAGAGCGCCCAAAATTTTTAAACAGTTTAACATTTTTTGACGCTCTTGCCGAATATCCCGCTTTACTCCGAACTTTTCTACGACCTATTACGATCCCGACGCTTTAATCAAGCTTTGTTACGCTTTGGTGCCGCTTTACAATCCGCTTTAAAGCGCCATCAAAGCGCCGTTGGTGCGAACGCTTAAACAGTTTAAATTTTTTAGCGCTCTTGCCGAATATCCCGCTTTACTCCCGAGCTTTTCTACGACCTATTACGACCCCGACGCTTTAATTAAGCTTTGTTACGCTTTGGTGCCGCTTTACAAGCCGCTTTAAAGCGCCATCAAAGCGCCGTTGGTGTGAACGTACCATTAGCTATCATGAACAGTTTGCTTTGTAGCCTATTGGTATTGAAGTGCACGAAAGGTGAGAAAGATATCATGAGCTTATAATTATTTCGTATTCATAACGCCCGCTGATTGGAATAATGAATCGGGGAGTAGCTGATTTTCGCTAGAAAATTCAACAAATCTGGATTGAATTCCTAAATGAATAAGCGCACGACACGGGGAAATATGCGAGGTCTTTTAAGAGTATCTATTTAAAAGAAGATCTAAAATATTGCCACATATCGTGCGCCATTGAATCGTAAACTTTCTCTTGAAAAAATAAATCTTTAAAAGATTTGTTGACTTTTCTAGCGAAAATCAGCTACTCTCCCCCTCCGTTCATTTTCTCCGATTACCGGGCGTGTCCATTTTAGTTTTCAGTATGTCGTGACTGTTGGACTGAGGAACAGATTATGGCACTCTCTGCTTATGATGAAGCTTCTATTATATGTGAACGATTAGATGAGCTTGAACTTGAAGGAGGAAATTAAAATGTGAACGAAAAGTAGATGAAGCTGAAGCTGAAGCTCATTGTAATGGCAACATAAAGTGCTATATTAAGCATAAGGCTCCACTGGAACAATCTAAGGTTACTATTGATATATTTAAGTCTTATGAATTTTGACAATATTGGTAACTGTGATCATGAACTGATTTTATTTTGACATCCTTAGTAGCTTCCTTATGTTTGATATCAATAAATTATTTTTCACTTGAAGTGCAAAACATACTTTCTAATCAGAATAAAAATATATGTTTTTATTTCTCCCAAAAGCTATATTTTGACACTGTTTGTGGATTCATTATGCAAACATATAATGAAACATTATAAAATATCAATAAATTTGAAAGAACTGTGATGACATTTTAGTTGCTAAGTTTATCATGTTTACATTTTCTAACAAAACGATTATAGACCTTCCAATTCGGTTCACTTTAAAAACATATTCCTACACTTTCTGGATATGTTTTAACAGCAAACTTCTGGATGTGTCTATAATTGTTTATGTCAAACATGCAGGTAAGGTTAAAATGTCGATTTTTAAGAGGCTTGGTATTTTACCTAAAAATTATGTTTATGTTATATGATTTGACATGCATACATGAAAAGAGTATGCATACTGTACACAGTGAAAATTTATGAAATTGACAACTCGTTTTAAAATTATAAACTTATAAAAACAATGCACATTCCTTCTGATTTGTGTATGCCAAGTTGTATAATACATAAACAATGTAGATAACTGGGCGTGTATACTTTGACTTTTTTGCCGACCTTGCATAATATACACAAATCATTAAAAAGTGTGTGGGACAGAATGTGAGAGGCAATCATTCCAGAAATAAAGCATTACAAGTTTGAATCATATTGTAAAAATACATTAAATTCATCATTTCCTGGCGTGCTGAAGAACATAGCCAACATATACACAATTTGATTAACTATATATGACACAAAATATGCAAATATGTGAAAAGAAATTTTTAAAAAGCATATCAGAATTATCTAATTTTGAGCTCTTTAAAACCATAATAAAATATAATCAATACAGTTAATCTTAAACCTAAAGTTATTTTGCTATAATGGAGATATTAACATGGCATAGACAGTAAGGGAGACAAACAGTATGCAACAACTATACAAAAGTTTGGCAATCCATTGTTGATGACAGTTTTATTGTTAATCCCAGCAGCTATATTTGGTGCAATAAACAACAATCGAAAACAAGATACAACTTTTGTGTAGGTGTGAATGTACATAGAAACACAATAATAATGTCTCATAAAACAACAAAAGTAACTACGAAACTTAATACAAATACTGTAAACTGTACTGGATGACGTTCCTGAACATATTACAGATAAATACATTTTCAAAAAAACTACATAGGAATTTCGAAATCCATGTACAGGGTGACCAAAATGATAACAGTCGACTTGTGTGCCTATCGTTTCAACAACTGAAGTTTTTATTTTATCGCAAAATGCGTTCCAACTGGTCCCCTAACGTCTTAGACACTCCTGAATGTGGGGTACAAATTCTCAAATCAATAGCCTGATGTGCAAACCATTGGAGAGGTCATGTGAGTGTGGGCCCGCTCGGAGTCACATGTTCTATTGATGTTTGACACCAAGGACGTATTAATACATATCATTGTCGATCATCGATATTATTTATCAAAATGTTAACTCTTTTAACTACATGTCCTTCAATAAATAACGACCACACTATTTTGAGAATAGACAAACACAAATAAGAATGTATGTTAAGCTGCATTTATTACAACCAAAACAAAATAGACACCAGAAGTATTACAATCCCTACGCTCATATTTTACGTATAAATACAGTAGGTGCCAAGTTTGGACAAAGTGTCGTTATTTAAGCACATTTATTTTTACTATCGATAAGTGTCTTCCAATTAATGGTTAAAATTGGTACTTATAATTCATTATTTTTGTCACAATGTATGTCGGTAGTGCGGAAAATGGCTTTAATTACCATTTAATTTTCAAAGAGTGTACCACTCTATCCATCGGTATAGTGTTTTACTTATTGCTTCCGATGACCATGGCCAATCTCCGAGCCTTTCGTCCAGTGCAATCCATCAGACAGTCTTACTTGTTGGTCATTTGTTTCTGTTTTGTTATTGGGTCGATTGTTGAATAGTGCATTCGCATTCATTTCCCAGATCGATACTCTGAAACAAAATATTATCATAAATAATGGTTTATTTGATATTGCGACATTTCAAAATTTGAAAAATATGTCATATTATACATAAATATATTATGTCTGTGTGTATTATTGTAGGTAAATATGAATGAGCCTGGACAAATTAAAATTCGTTATCCTGAAATACATGCGCCTAATATGTGGAGAGGTAAATATAACTTTAAATAATTAAGGGTGAGTGTATATTATCTTCAGCTGATATCTAAGATAATTTTAGAATATACAGTGCACGAAAATAATGTTTTTGTATCATATATGACAATATAGTTGACAAATGTTCCGTTATGTGATATACGTATATCATAAAATAAATGTATCTTTTCATATATGTACATATGTTAATATAATTTGTAAACACAAATGCCCAAATTGCCATGTTACACTCCCATTTGTTAAACGAATTCAACTTTGGGACTGCTTGTTAATACCTGTCTATGCAAAACTCGCAACACGAAAAAATGTTTTGATGGCTGAAAAAAATGAAATCAGCTTATTTTGGAACTCAGGCTTATACAAAGGTTTGTAGAGAAGTGGGTACAGTTTTGATATAGATACAATTTAACATGTAGCCCTATATAAGCATGTCGTTTACTAGAATTTTTGAGGCTAAATATGTACGTAATCAATTTATAATTCTGAAATAAAGCTGACATTTCTCATGTTAAATCACAAATAAATAATCAATTCAGATACTATTTGTTGTGTTCTAGTGACTAATCCAGACGCTTCTATTTAAAATATTCATTTTATTTTTCAGAAACTGTTTGCTGTTTTCTAGACCTGCAGATGTATAGTCTCTTTTGTCTTGTTGTTTTCTTATTTTCTTATGAACTTGCTTGTTAAAATTTAGTTAGTCTTGTTATAAACCTAGGTAAGGTAAGATATGATTCATTTAAAATAACTATTATCAACATGTGCAATCGGAAGGAAAGCACAAACAGCAAACATCTATAGAATATAGTTAATATAATATATAATATAATATAATTCATTTGTCAGTCACTAATCCAGTGATTTATACGAAATGATTACATTTTTTTAGATAACAGAATGTTTAGCAATCATAAGAAAAATATAAATTCAATACTCACCCACTCTAGATTTACCAAAAATAAATGTATTCCATTTTTTATCCATAGGTGCTACTTTGATCCGGTATATTGGATATTTACAATTAAAACTATATTGAACTACAGGCTCTTTGAATGACATTGTCACCTCAGTCATTGGTTTATGATGTAATTCATTGTTGTTTGTCTGCATTGCCCGGAGTCAACATTATTCATAAATATCTAATGGTCTGGGGATGTTAAGATAAATGATACTGCACTTGAAAGATATTTATCAGAATACTATTACCATGGTACTATTACATAGTTCAGTTATCCATGGGAATTAAAGGGTTAACCTTAAGAGGCTATTTGATATGCTGTTCCCTCCTCCTCCATATATGGTAAAAGAGGCGGAGTTAATTGGGTCTCATGTTGAAAAAGTCAGAGTATTGTATAGTAAAGATTTTCATGGAACTTTCGGTACATTCACACGTCATATATTTTAGATCCAGACTTCGAAATCATTAATAAACTAAATTTCTAAATTCATATAACATAGTTAGTTTAAATGTTTACTTTTATCCTCTCACATGCCTCTCCCCCCCCATTAATACATTTGTATTACATAACAGTAACAATCCAATAAAAGTTACACGATAAGAGCTATGCAACGTGTCCAATGGTTTTTAATGATATTGTACCATAGAGCTAGAAAGGCTGTATTTCATGATAATGTGACAGTCAATTGAACTCTATCTTTTGACATGAAATAATTGAATAATATATGGTATTATAGATTCTGCCTTTGGACGTCAACACATACCATTGTAACAGTTGACATCAGTTGATATAAATGGATGTCAGGAAAAACTATAAGCATTTACATTGTTTTGTGGTTGAAAGATAAGTAATGCGTAATAATGCAAAATATTGTGATTAAAAAGTATACATGAATAAGAATTTTATAGATTAAAAGGTAAGAATTAACATATTGTATAATTTGTTAAGTTCTGATTATATATATTGTTGTTGGCTCATTTTATGTGTGGATGTCAAAATTGCTACTGATATATGGGTAAACAAACATTATAACAAGACCGCCAATCATGTTATTAGTTATTACAAGTGATAACAACACGTCATAGACAACATATTTTTATAGTACATGTAAATGTTAACATGTTAAAAATGAGTTCAGCTTAATTTAAAACAACTTGAAATTATAACTAAAATGTCTTCATCATAAATATTATAGGTGATACAGAAATATCAATAATACAGTCTGGTAAACATTCATAAATAACATAACAATCGCCACCTTGTAAATGATTATTAACGTCAAATCTAAATGGATGTTTTTGTTTGTTTTAGCTAAACTTGATGCCATAGAGGCCGATTTGTCAGGTAAATATATGTTTTTTACTCTACTTTATGTAACAATATGTTCATGCATTATAATAAGAAACCTTGAATTGTGTTGCATACTATAATTCTTGACCGTTAATACATAAGTGGCACAATACACAGTATTTGAGGAATACCAATTTGACTTATTAGACGCCATCTCACCATTTGAAATGGTCAAAGGGATAAGTTTGAATAAACAGAGGGCATGATAAGATGTATGATCTATAGTTTAATGAGGAATAGTTTCATTATTGTTACAATATTAATGGCATGGCTATGTTTTGACTTACAAGTCATCGTTACAAGGCATAAACTGTACATGACGTAATTTTTTTTTCTCGTTTCACTTAGAATTCTGTAGTGAGAAATGCGAAGGCCTAAATGGAGGATATTTCGCAGATAATGATGGGGACTGCTGTCAGTTTATTGTCTGTCAGTTAACACAGAGCAGGTATTATCAATTGTATATTTTAACAGTATTTCATTTTCTTCAAACAGCTCTTGAAAAATTTAAATGCATGTGAATAAATTATAAGAAATTTTCATAAAAAGTAAAACAGAATAACTTAAAAGTCAACAGAGCAGTTAAATATGCATATAGTTTTAAGAATGAATAAGAATGCAGTATATTATATTAAGATATACAATTGCTTATTTTATTGAATCAGTTTTGTTTGAAAAAAGTAACTAATGTGAAACTAAAGATAATACACTTCTTTTATCCATTTCCTCAGATTTGGTCCAGGCCAATATATTGGCTACAAGCAAACATGCATGTACCCTCTAGTATGGGATAGTAAGAATGGAGCGTGTAACAACGCCAAGGATGTTGAGGGTTGCACTGAGGAATGTCATAGTACGTCAACATTTGCCACTTTTGATCATGATTATTTTATTATTCAATTCATATGTTATCATTATATGTCTCAACATAAACTGAAAACTGCGTTTAATTATTAAATACTATGTACCACACTAAGCAATATGATGTTATATTCGTATTACTTTAGTTTTATAATTAGTTTTATATATTTGAATTATAGATATCTCCGTGTTTGGCAAAATTCATTCCTCATGTCAATAAATCAAAGACTATACAATTTTAAATACCGGTACATATTTAAATAAGTAATTATGCATTAAATGTTATACACTTTTTTAGCGCCGCCATCTCCAACACCACCATTCACTACACAGATGTATAATGAGTCGGGTGAGTTTTTGTTATCATAATCAATATCGTTCATTCCATTCAATAACCATAGATGTCATTGATGTATTTAGTGTATGGAAATTATATAAAATATTACATGCATTTGATGCAATGTCAATCGTCTTAGGCAATAAAATAAATACGTCATCATATCATGATTCTATTAGATATATTATGATTCTTTACAGGTCAATGTTATAGAAATAACAAGTTATACTCATGGATTGAATCCGATCCACAATGTTTCTTCGTTGATGACAACATGGACGAATTAGTGTGTTGCGGAATTGATCGAGTATTTGATCTTGAAGAGTGTGGTTGTGTAGGCACATTAGGTAAAGTATATTCATTTTTTATATGTTCTGCTTTGTTTTCCTTAATACCGCCATCGTTTTCTCAATGGACATAAAAAATGATTGCTCAAAAAGCGCTTAATACTTTGGACGGCTGACAAGCCAATGCAGGTAGCAGTTACCGTCCCTAAGGATGGAAAAATGGTAGAACAGGCTTACCTTGTTAAATAATATTATTTTAGAGTTTCTCCAAACGAACAATGGGTTTACTGCTAGAATTAAATCCAAACGTGGTATAACATAAAATAACAGTTTTTTATATAAATTCACAGCGACAATCTGTTGAATTCATAATATATGATACACTTTCTGATTTTTCACGATTTCGTTTTCTCACAGCTCCAAGTGAATGCGACTGCATTCTCTGCCTGCCATTCGTGAACAACAGAGTACAGGATATCATCCATGATACATACACTGAAGTGAGAGGCGTCAGTATAAGTGATGCTGGTGTTAAGGGACCAGGTGATCTTGATATATTCAAAGGTTGCTTCGATGGTGTTGATGATTACATTCGTATTAGCAACTTTATCAAACTTTACTATGGACCAACATTTTCGATAAGCTTCAGTTTTTATGTCGACCCAGCTTATGATACAAGAAAAACGCACGGCATTATAAGTAATGGCTGCTGTGATGAAGAAGGCTCAATCAAAGTGAACGTGCTAGGGGAGTCATTAAACGTTCGTTTTGAAACTGAGTTCGGAGTGTACGAAGAGGATATCTTGGTGAGTATTGATAATTGACATATCAAGCGAATTTATATTTCGTGATTGTATTTAATCTAGTATAGTATACAGCATATTATTCTTTGTTTTCATTAACCAATGACGCCATATGTCGATCATTCAGTGACAATTTTTAGTGACATTCATTGACAATTTTTTACAAGTTTGATCATTTGAAGTGGGTGTATTTAGGAACCAGCGGGTAAACGACTCACACCTGGTACTCTCACAGATGTGACATTGAGATACTGTGGTCCAACCCTTGATGTATTCTATGATGGCGAATTGGCCGATACAAGAATTCTTGGAGGTTTGTTTAAGTTTCAGCTTTCCAATTCAAACATTGAGATGATTTACACGTAAAATATAAGCATTGGTATTGCCTAATTCACTAATACTTACAATAAATCCATCGTACTTTTTTCAGGAGATCTGTTGACCACAGATTGCGCACTTACTATTGGTCAGGATGGCGACAAAGGCGATGATGGTGGTGAAAATACCAATTTCCAAGGCTGTATTGTAAACGTAAGTGCGATTTAGAAACTTAAGTATCGCGCAGGGTTTCAAAAAACTGACACACCTCTGTGAGGAAGTTAAAGTTATCCTAGAACATTCAGCAGCTTAAACCATAGATATACACAACACAGTATAATAAATAAAAAGCATACATCAAGATTTCATAGAACCTATATCGTTATATTAACCTCTATCGATAAATTAGGAAATGCAAAATATCATCATTTTTGTATGATGCATTTAAAGGACAACTGAAATAGCTTTTCTCAACTTGCAGCTACAAAAATGCGGTTTTCTCCATTGTAACCCCAACGTAGAGTTCTTGCGATAGCCATTATAAAATAAATGATAGATAACTGCTAACGGTCATAAATAACGAAACAAAACTAACTGATCAATCAAATTGGCCCCCACGTGATAAGTAACGTCATATACAAAATATAGCTTTGGATTGTTGGTTCCTTAGTAATCACAACGTCACGGCAACCATAGGATTGTAGTGTAAACCAAAACAAAACATTTAGGCATTATGACGTTATGGGCCACGTGGGGACCAGTGAGAGATCACGTGGGGGCCAATAACGTCACAACCAATTCGAATATTGCTTATTAAGCAGCTATAACGATCGTTAGAGTGAAATAGTTTTCGCACTACTGATGAGAAAACATGTCCAAATACATTTATCAAAAAATTATATTGATTCCTGTAGGTTAAAAATACCATTTCATATCTGCTTTAAGGGGCAACTAGAGACGAGTTGAAAAGAAGTTTCGAAAAACGTCGTAATCAACAATATTTTGCTTTCACAATTCAGTAATGCCTACTCTCTGAAAGTTTGATTTGATAGTGTATCTGTCAGAGAATGGAAAATTGGACTCTCTTTTCGATTTTAATCAATTTGGACATCCCTGCATCTTTGAAATTCAATGATTTCTATATTTGATCAGATTTATTTCAAATTTGGATTGCAAGATATAATGCCACGCTTTTTGAAATGACGGCTTCCAACAATTTACACTCTAGACTTTGCTTCCTCGTAAAGAAATTAACTTTGCTTTGACGTAATTTGAATATTTAGTTTTCAGTATGTCGTGACTGCTGGACTGATGAACAAGTCAATGCACTCGCTGCTTATGACGAAGCATCTATCATTTGCGAACAGTTAGATGAGCTTGCCCTTGCAGGAGCAATTTAATTAATTAAAATTAATTCTGGTTAATTATATTTGGCAATAGGTTTTTACTTCCAATACCGATCCGATAAAATGACACAATATAGTCCATTTACAGGTAATGTGATGTTCATTAGTTCGTCATATTTATACTGTTCAAATGTTACCCATTGTGCTTTGTGATCATACGGGTTTATTCTTTTTCCCATGTGTTCTTTTGTGAGTGTAAAAGCTATTGGTTTGCATCACTTAGCAATCCATGTGTAGCACACACCTCGACTCACTTACATGGGTTATTTAACACACGAATGGAGTAACGTCGTGCTTCCATATGTTGAATATCCATGAGTATTATTAGTTTAGTCTCAATATTCTAGTTTTACCTAAACAGAGTGTCAACTATGTTAGTATCGGTATTGGTAGTTGAAATCCCTACCAATAAAAAGCATTAGTGGCTCATAATTATTAGTCAGTCGATTTTAATGTATCAAGAACAGTTTATTATATTTTGAATAAACTTTTAAAACTTGACATTTTGTTGTGCTCATTTAAAAATCAAAATGTACTCAGATGACATAAAACGGTTTCACTTGAAAACGTATTTGACACTCCGTTTAGGAATTATACATTGCCATGTTGCTATTTTAGTCATCTGAGTACAATTTACAAAATAGTTTTAAGGTACAGCTGGAAAATAACATTTTGATAAAAAAAATTGCTATACAAAGTATGAAGGCATGTGTCAATTTCCTTGCTTTTTCCGGAAAGTATCATTACATTGTCTTCTTTTAAAATATCTGGTAGGAGTTCAATGGGAACTCCAGGAAATTCTGATATTTCACACTTTCAATTTTTCCAAATTTTCTTTCAAAGTTTCCTGACAACACAGGAGCTACCATTGATAGGTTTACTACAAGTAGACAGTGTAATGATACTTTTCTGAAAAGAGCAAGGAAATACGTACATGCTTTCATACTTAATTTTGTACCATAAAATAACATGTGCAGGTATAGCAATTTTTACCAAAATGTTACTTTCCAGTACTTCAAGTAATTAAAATAATGTGCAATACAATGCAGTGCAATAAAATGTGGTGCAGTGCAATACAATACAATGCAGTGTAATGCAATACAATGCAAGACAATATAGTGCAATACAATACAATGCAGTGCAATATAATGTAGTGCACTGCAGTACATTACAATGCAGTGCAATACACTACAATGTAGCGCAATATAATTCAATAAAATACAATGCAGTGAAATACAATACAATGCAGTGGAATACAATACAATACAATGCAATGCAATTCAATGCTATGCTATGCTATGCTATTCAGTGCAGTATAATGCTATGCTATGCTTTGCTGCTATGCTATCCTGTGCTGTGCTGTGCTATGCTATGATATCAAAAACAGACATGTGCTGACTTTATATCACCAATATCATGTTAAAATGAACTTTTGGAATTGTTGATGGTTCACTATCATAAAGAATTAGATGGCATAACTAAACCGAGTAAAATGATTTGAGTACAACTTAAAGTTCGAATCAATTTGTATCCGATGTCCCTCATCTTGCCAAATCTTAACCTTACTGCATTTCACACCAAAATGATGGGATCTGTGAATATAGGATCCTCATTTCTCGTCGAGTACCTCTCTCTGAACGCTCAGTGCATCACCCTCGTGATTTTAGAACTTTCAGGACTCTCTGAAATAGTTGAACTATGTATTCATGATTGTTGCCCAATATACGCTAATGTTAATATGGTTCGTCAACGTTACAACAGCTCCAAGTCACACATTCGTCAGCGTAATAATGATCTTACGTCAGCGTAACAAAAGCGAGGGACTAAATGAGTGAATTGCGTCTTCGTTAATATACCAAACATAGAACCACCTGCATATTCTCAAACTAGACTATCTTCCTCAACTTTGAGCCAAATTATTGTTCACAACTTGACTGACAAGTGGTGTAAAATCGAGAAATAAAAATATCTTACCGAAAACGAATCCCGGAAGTTCTTCCATCTTGTTACGCTGACGTATCGTCAGCGTTACCAGGTGAGTACCAGTGAAACATGGCACAATTATCAATGCGTCTGAGATGACCAGAAGTGAAACCAACCAGAGCTCCACGTTTCAACCCTAAATCTATTATAAATAAGTGTGACTTTAATTGCAGAAGATTTGCTAATGAGATGTTGATATATGCATCATAAATAACTATACTGAGGACATAAATTCATAAAACTTAGTACCCAACACAAATTTTTGTCAGATATTTCTCTACATCGAAATGTTCGAAAAAACCTGTGTGGGGTACTGATATTGTCATCATTAACTCTTGTTGGTGATGCAGATAGTGGCAAAAGAGACTTCAAACATAGGGCAAAATACGCACTCACTACTACTAATTACAACCCATCGTATATTGGGTGTTTCAAAAAACGTCACACCTTTTTACTTGTACGAGGGGTGATCAATAAGTAATGGACGCTTTTTTACACAGATACTTTTTATTGACCAATCCCTTTGATTTTCCTACCAGTGAAGCATCATTCAATTATCTATCAATTCTGAAGATTTGAAGACAAAATATGTAATACATGTTGATATATCCTTATTTCCGTGAAGGAGGTACAGGTACCCCGGGACCGACATTTACGTCACATATTCAGTTTTTAGCCAGTTTGGTAAATTTGAGTTAGATTTGAACTTTTTATATGCAACAAGTGTTGTATTGGTTGAATTTTTTTGCTGACTGGTAACACATAAACAAAAAGTATTGTAATGTCAGAGTGTTGTATGGAAGGGGTTTGCAGGTCAATTTGAGAAAGCATTGTGGAAGAAAGGGGTTGTGATAGAAGGGAACACCCTACTCCATATGGTCAATGCACCTGCCCATAGATCCCAAAATGTTCAGAAAACAATATACCTGGACCTCAAAGTTGAGCCCTTGGCCAATGCACTATATTGTCCACATCTGCTCACATGTGACTTGTTTATTTCTATATACTACTTATTTCTATAGAGAAAGAGAGGTTAGAGACATATGGAGACGCAGGATTATTAACATTGATTAAATAAAACAACCCATGCAACTGTATCTTGCTACCATGTCAGAGAATGGATTCAGCCTTGCCAATCTTGAGTTAAGAGGATGATGAATTGTGTACATGTAGCACTTGATGGAACCTATTTAGAGGGCCCTACGGAATGAATGTGGCATGAATACCACAAAGTGATGATAAAATATTCAAAATCAACTATGGCATAACAAAATGGGGTAATTCATGACCATAATGGTTTGTTTTGTTCAGCCTGCATTCAACTGCATTGCATGTTAAATATCTTCAGAATATGTGACGTAAATGTCGGTCCCGGGGTACCCGTACCCCCTTCACAGAAATGAGGATATATCAACATGTATTATATATTTTGTCTTCAAATCTTCAGGGCTGATAGATAATTGAATGATGAATCACTGGTAAGAAAATCGAAGGGATTGGTCTATAAAAAGCATCTGTGTAAAAAAGCGTCCATTACTTATTGATCACCCCTCGTAATACCATGATTATTTTAGAGTCAATCTTTGAAAATTCTCATGGACCAACTTTAGGCTGTTTCCAGCAAGCACTGAAAATGTCAATGCAATCTGATATAGATTCTGTGAGAATTGCTTAATACAGAAATGCAAGTCAAAAAATACAATATCAGGGCAACTTGCCTATTTTAACCTGTGTTCAATATGCCCTCCATCCTCTTCCACTACAAATCGCAGCCATTTTTCCATCCTGATATGCTCTTGCGAATTTTATCTAAACTGATATCCTCCCAAGAAGAAAAAATCCTTTCCTTTAATTCCTGCTCTTTGAACTTGTCATTATGTCTATGGTACACTTTTTCCTTCAAAGAGTCCAGATCGAATAATCCATTGGATTACAGTCGGGAGGAGGCCACTTATCTTTCTTGATAAACATTGGAGTAGCTTCCTCAAAATAGGCTTGTGTCACTCGACTGGTATATGAGGGGGCCCCGTCCTGTCCTAGGATAAAGTCTCCGACAATCAGGGAGCAGATTATCATCTAAAAGTTTCATGTAACTTTCACTATTGACTTTTGTTTTTTCTCAGTGTCAATAAAGTGGATTTCAGTTTTTCCTCCCCACGATACTCCCGCAGGGACCATGAGTTATTTAGAAAAACGAGAAGTCTCATGATATAGTCGATTGGGTTCGATATCACATTTCCTTTTACCGTACACACGATCATTCTGGCGATTTTAGGCTATTTCAAGGGTGAAATCATTTTTCATCAGTAAATACCATTTTCTTGACAGCTGAATAACGATCATTTAGATTTCTGCATCTGGTTTTTCTTTTTCCTCTGACATTTTGATCTCTTCGAGACACCCGTATCCGCTTGAATGGTTTTGACTCAAGTTATTTAGTCATTCTTGAAACAGACGATTTTCTGACATTCAGATCCTTAGCAATTTCCCTAACAGATTTGTGTGTCCCAGCTTTATCTTCCTGCGATGCGATCAGTTCCTTAACACGAGCCTGATTTTCTCCAGTTCATGCGCTTCTTGGTCTCCCGCTTCCAGCTTTTCTTGCAACTGATTCTGAACACAAGAATACAAGAATCTCACCAGCTTGACACCTAGATGACCTAATTTAAATAGGTTGACACCGATTGACAGTTTCATCACCTTGGCAACCATACAACACATAGTATCTGACCTGCATAAGCATTTCGCCTGTTATTACTGGGTGCACAATGCACTTCTTAGATGACACAACACTGATATTGCACTTTTCAACTTGCTATTTTGTTCTGGCCAGTACATCAAAAATATAAAATGGATTTTTTATTTTTACAGTCAATACAAAATATCCTGATCTCAATAATGATATTTTCTATCGATTGAGCGTAGCGAATAAGTTTGAAAATTATTTAATACAGGTACTTCACACTGTTTTGATATCAGATTTGGAGAAGGTGTTCTATAGTTTGTTACGGTGGTGTATATTTGAGTATGTTCTGTTCTATTTAAGTGACGACAAACGGTGGTATTGATTGAATGAGTTGTGAGTGATTTATGTTTAGGAAATAGGTTTTGAGTCATTCGGCTTTGTGACGCTAACACGGCAGCATTTGCTAAATTTATTGAAACTTGCAATTGAGACTTTTGCTATATACTAAAATAAGCAACTGAGACTCAGAATGGAGAACGAAGAAAACGTGAATTGTTCAAAGATGGTTCAAAACTGGCGAGGAAGTTGGAAACAGAAACAAAGTTACAGAAGAAAAGACGAGAGAAACGGTATGAATACAACTCTGAGATATTGGATAAAATACTTCCAAATGTCTAGAAGATGGTGGAGACCGAGATGTGCAGGGCGAAGTGAGTGTCCTGGCAGAAGGTATGGTTTTGAATAATTAATGAAATAGAATAGGTTAAAATAGCTGATGAATCTCCATAAGTGTGTGTAGTAGAAAAATATGAACGTAAGAAACTGCAGATTCAGCGACGATGACAAGAAGATATTACGTCAAGCTCATTCTTGAAGTGAGATAAATCATCAGTTCAATATATCAGAACATAGTACCTAAAAATAAAGTCAGTTTCAGAGGCGGAGGTGGTTTGTCATCTACAGCAGGCGGAGGTCTCGATAGGCGTGGTTCCTTCAGAACAATCAGAACTACAACAGGACGGCGGTTCAGAGGCAACGGTATTTGTTTCTGCTGCTACATGACTAGGTGTTGGTCCAGAGATTGTCAAAGAGACATCTGCTCAAAGTAGCAGCAATAACCAGAAGTTAAGTATACATCTGAACTATATATGTAATCAAAATAGTAAAAGAATCAAACTGTAAAAGGAAAATTGAAAGAAAATGTAGCGTTTTTGAAATCGGTGAGAGCTAATCTTTACATAATTGATGTTATTGAAAATGGTTAGAAAATTCGGTTTGAGTCATACCAAAGAACTAGAATTATAAAAAAGCAACAGATTTGCATTTTAAAATTAAAACATTTGTAGAGGAAAATAAAGAACGGTTGTTTGAACAGGGTTGTATATATTAAACAGTTGAAGTTTCTAAGGTTGTCAATCCTATCACCGTATAAAGTCAGATACTTGGTCAAACATTGGAAGGCTTTTGGATTCAGATTTTAATATTCTTGGATGATGCAATCAGGACCGGAAATAGTGGACTTAAATGTTTGAGATAATTATAAATACTATAAGGTCCGATTTGATTCGATTTGGATTTGTTCCTATCTGGAAGTTCACTCAAAACTCGTTTTGGTTTGGTTTGGCTAAGGTTTGGTCGGGATTTGAAAAGGAAATTAATTATATCCCGGAAGTGAAACCGTAAAAAGTTTCGTACAGTACAGGCTATGTGATCACTCCAAGGGTTGTGGCTTCCATAATTAGAAAAGTAAAATCTGCCAGGGTGCAACAGGTGATATAGTCACAAAACAAGGGGGTTTCAAAAAAAAAATAGTTGTCCTAGATTATACTGGGATGTCTTATCAAGATAGCTGATCAAGCCAAGCAATAATTGTGTTTCAAGTGAAAATAATCTTGAGAGATTGAATGGAAAGGTTTTTAAAACGTGTCCTGAACACTCCAGAGTTGTTTATTCGGATGCATCGTCTCGAGTAAGGCTTGTGGAGAATATGTAGTGGAATATAGAGAATTATGTATGTTATCAAAAATGGTCAGAAACTTAGAAATCAAAAGCTCTGTGAACAAAAAGTTTAAGGGGTGTTGATTACTTTGTCTAGATAGTTAAAATGTCGAATTGTTTGTTGATTCACGGACAACACTGGTGTAGTGAATATAGTAAACAAGGGTAGCATGATATAAGAAATTCAGAAACTTTCCGTTGATATTCGTGAAATATGTTTGCAGCGAATCGAGGTTTTGAAGCCTGAATGGATTCCGCGGGAACTAACCCAAAATGCTGAGTCCATCAGCAAAATGATAAATTATAATGACTGGGGATATATACTGGAATATCTTCAACTTTTTAGATACAAAACGGGGAGTATATACTGTACACATATTCGCAGACAACATTGAACGCAATGTTACAGATTTAATTCTTAATATGCATAACTATGTAGGTGCTGAGGCTGTCGATTCGTTTTCTCAGGACTGGTGTGGTAAAATAAATTATGTTGTTACACCTGTAGTATAGATTGCAAATATTTCAGGCTGATGGTTGCAAGCGAAAGTATTAATGGTTTTTCCACAGTGGCAGTCTTCTGTATACTGGTCAATACGTGAATGAAAAAGATACCAGAGCTGTATTAAAAACATAGAATTCCCACCCGGTGGTGATTATTTAGTGCCCGGCACTCAGAGATATAGCATATGAATATTCAGAATTGGTTGCTTCAGGAGCATATTTATTGCATAAAAAATAGATTATTAAAAGCATTGAACTGTCGTTGTTGTTTAATGTATGGTAGTTTCATTGTGTAACGATGTTGTTTGTACGTTTTCAGGGTATAAATGACACAGATGCAGTTAACGCCAGTGTGGTATGGCAGGAAGAAGACCCAAATCGGTAGAGACAATGAAAAACTAAATATCTATCAGACGAAAATGTCTGGTTTTGTGGTGAAGTCTGGAGAACCAAAGACGATAGAAAATTATGCATATAAGTTTTCAAAATGGAATAACGGATGTAGTTGTATAAATATTGTTTTTTAAAAAATGAGTCATTCGTCTGCTAGTGTCAAGGAGATCAGAACGGTTAAAATTTTGTTGTTTTGGGGTTTGCAGGTTTTTGAGGTATGAGGAGAAATTGTGTTACTCATCTTGTAGAAAAATGTTTTTGGGTACTTAGAAAGAAATAAGAGTTGAAACAACCATCTTTGGTTGACATGGTTAACGTAGTGATGATGCTACTACAGGTGCTAACAGTGGATGTGAACGGTAGGTTGTTCGGCTCATAGGAGGTGGAAAGTGAGTGTTCTATAGATGGTTATGTGGAGAGTAACATTCAAGAAAGGCACAAAAGTTATCAATCTTGGTTTATAATAGGTGACTTGATTAAGTTTATTGCGTTATTCATATTAAATAAGAATATACTATCTTCATTTGAATGGGATTTTAAACTTATTCTTACCTTACCTTATCTTTGTTCTTCGGGAATAGCGGCACATAAGAGCCAATGCAAATTTATATGGTGGTTGTGTTCTTTTAAGATTTAAGTACGGAGGACCAGTTTTAATGATATTTTCTATCGATTGAGCGTAGCGAATAAGTTTGAAAATTATTTAATACAGGTACTTCACACTGTTTTGATATCAGATTTGGAGAAGGTGTTCTATAGTTTGTTACGGTGGTGTATATTTGAGTATGTTCTGTTCTATTTAAGTGACGACAAACGGTGGTATTGATTGAATGAGTTGTGAGTGATTTATGTTTAGGAAATAGGTTTTGAGTCATTCGGCTTTGTGACGCTAACACGGCAGCATTTGCTAAATTTACCAAACAACTTTAAGGTTAACTGTTTTAAAATATTTTGTCAAATGTATTTTTACTTTGATATAAAGTTAGAAATAGTTTTTGTTTTAAGTAAATTGTGTGTTTCGAATTCTTAAATCCTACAAACGCCAATTTCATCTTAGGGGTAGGTGGACCTCCTTGTATATAAAAAAAAATGTACAAGGTACCTTTCGCACTTTGCAAAAGGGGTCGCCGCGAGGTTGGCATTAAAGAATTCAATTATCAGCCTACAGGGCATAAGTACTGTAAATATAATACTAAGAAATTGTATACAGAGTATGTAAGCAAGGTTTCCGAAACCACATGAATGTAAAATGTAAATTATAGGCAGGAATTGAGATAAAAAGCTGGATAAAAAGCTTTGCCTTCGATGCATATGGAACGAGTTTAATGTTTGGGCAAGGAGTGACCATATATTTGTTAATTTAATTCATAACTGAGATAAAAAGCTGGATAAAAAGCTTTGCCTCCGAGGCATATGGAACGAGTTTAATGTTTGGGCAAGGAGTGACCATATATTTGATTATTTATAATTTCAGACGAGACTCGTCTCTGAGACGTTTGTGGAGCTATAAAAGATTACTATTTATACATTATAAGATTTGAGATATTTGCCTCCGAGGCTAAATAATGATTTCATTTTGAAATTTGTCAAAAGAATTAAGTCCCATGAATCAATATTGGACTATTATGGAGTTTTTGCCTCAGGAGCATCTGGAGATAAGGAATATTTGGTATTATAAGTTTACCTCTGGAGAACACGTACTTTAGAAGTTAATAGAATCTTAATATATGCCAGGATTATGATCAGATCATTGGACTATTATTGAATTTTGCCTCCGGGGCATATGTAGATAAGGATTGTTTAATATTAAAAGTTTACCTCTGAGGAATAATCTACTTTAGAAGTTGAAAATGTAATATTTACAAAATGTTTTGTATGCCAGGATTATGATCAGATCAATTGAACTAGTATTTAAGTTTGCCCATCGGGGCATCTGTGCATAAGTAATATTTAATATTAAAAGTTTACCTCCGAGGGATGTGTACTTTAGAAGTTGATAATATAATATTTAACAAAATATGGATTCATATGCCATGATTAAGATCATTGGACTATTATTGAATTTTGTCTCCGGGGCATCTGTAGATAAATATTGTTTTTATATTATATGACTGTTTACCTCTGAGGAATAATCCACTTGAGAAGTTAGAAAATATGATATTAATAATATGGCTTTTAATACCGGGACTAAGATCAGGCAATTATTGAATATTATTGAATTTTGCCTCCGGGGCATCTGTAGATAAGGATTGTTTTATATTATAAGTTTACCTCTGAGGAATAATCCATTTTAGAAGAATTAGAAAATAATATTAATGATATGGCTTTAAATGCCGGGATTAAGATCATGTCATTGGACTATTATTGAATTTTGCCTCTGGGGCATCTGCACAATATTTGATATAAAACGTTAACCTCTGAGGGATTTAGAAGTTGATTACAGAATATTAATGATATATGGCTTTCTATGCCAGGATTATGATCCGATCATAAGTCCGGGACACCTCCGAGGTGCTGCCCAAAGGGTCATTGTGTATGTGGAGTTTGTATGTACGATATTATCATAGGCCAATAAATAGCGACATAGCGGCACATAAGAGCCAATGCAAATTTATATGGTGGTTGTGTTCTTTTAAGATTTAAGTACGGAGGACCAGTTTTAATTACAAAATGTTATTGACTTCAGTGCAACGGAAGCTGAGATATTGCTAGTCAAAAAGTGTGACGTTTTTTGGGACACCCGATATCTATCACTCCAATGTTCTTGTTGTTGGCCTCACAAAATATGTAATATATTAATTTTATATTTGTCTAAATGTTAATTTATATTAAAATACCATTGGGTGAAATGTGCACTCAGTACTACTATTCCCATCATATCTATAACTCCCCAACGTTCATGTTGTTGACTTCACAGAATATGTTATATATTTATATATTTGTCTTAATGTTAATTTATATTAAAATACCATTGCGTGAAATGTGCACTCAGTACTACTAACTACGTCCCATCATATCTATAAACCCCCAATGTTCATGTTGTTGGCTTCACAAAATATGTAATATATTTATATATTTGTCTTAATGTTAATTTATATTGAAATACCATTTGCGTGAAATGTGCACTCAGTACTACTAACTACGTCCCATCATACCTATAACACCCCAATGTTCATGTTGTTGACTTCACAGAATATGTTATATATTTATATATTTGTCTTAATGTTAATTTATATTGAAATACCATTTGCGTGAAATGTGCACTCAGTACTACTAACTACGTCCCATCATACCTATAACACCCCAATGTTCATGTTGTTGACTTCACAGAATATGTTATATATTTATATATTTGTCTTAATGTTAATTTATATTGAAATACCATTTGCGTGAAATGTGCACTCAGTACTACTAACTACGTCCCATCATATCTATAACACCCCAATGTTCATGTTGTTGACTTCACAAAATATGTTATATATTTATATTTGTCTTAATGTTAATTTATATTAAAATACCATTTGCGTGAAATGTGCACTCAGTACTACTAACTACGTCCCATCATATCTATAACACCCCAATGTTCGTGTTGTTGGCTTCACAAAATATGTAAAATATATGTTTGTCTTAGTGTTGATTTCTATCCAAATACCAAATGGTCTAACGAAAGTGTTTCAGATAATTCTGTACTATTTTACAATTATCTAACCTTTCTATTATATAGATGAAAATGGATTGCTAGACTTTGAATTTGATGTCCAAGGTAAATATTGTCACATTATTTTTCATTCATCCTTCGATATATAGTAGCCCAGACAGAACTGTCCAAGGGTCACTTTTTCTTTAATAACTTTTTTAATTTTCAGTATTATCAAAAGCCGATCAGATGTCCGAAGACTTGGGTAAAATCCTGACATACGAGAAAAATATTTAAGGAACATCTCTTAATTGATTAATATTATAGGCGTCCATAGTATGAATGACGCAAATACATAATTCATCATTTTGTCTCACATTTGTTCAAAAATGGCAGCATTTTTGTGAATTTCAATATAATTCAGTTGAAAGTTAATATTTAAGAAATGTCAAGGTCCTATGAAGTCATGTCGACTACTGCTTTGGTAATGACTGCATTTAAAACCTTTTGTTTAAAATTGGTTTGTATGTATACATGAAAAGGTTCATACATTGGTTGTACAGTATATTGGTAGGGTCGCAGAACTTGACATGTTTGGTGCATCCGTAGTGGATGAGCAGCCCTGGATCGCTGTTTAGACCTCTTGGAAAGATTTGGGACCTACTCCCACCTTTCACATCCTCTTGAACACAACCCCGACCATTTCAATAGAATTGAGTTCGTGACCCTTGAAAGGAGTATGACTTCTTGTATTTGATGATTGGTCAGCTGCTGTATTGCATCAGGATTGTAATGGTGACAGCATGGCCCTATAGGCTTAAGACATTTTTTAAATATTAACTTTCAACTAAACATTCGCATTCACGAAACATACTGCCATTTTTGATAAATATGAGATAAAATTATGAAATATGTATTTACGTCATTAATACTGTGGACGCCTATAATATCAATAAAAATTAAGAGAGGCTATTTAAATAATATTTTGTATGTCAAATTTTACTCTAGTTTTCAAATATGTTTTTGATACTACTAAAAATTAAAAAGGTTATGAAAGAAAATGTGACCCTTGAACAATTCTGTCCGGGCTACTATATACTATATACATTTGTGTTTTAGTATTTAAAACTCGTCACTTCAACTGGACGAAAATTCCGTATATTCTTATTTGTTGTCATTTGTTTATGTAGCATTTTGTGAGGTTGCATGTGACCAATTCAATGGAGGATATTTCCCCTACCCAGGCGACTGTTGCAGATTCATAATATGTCAGCGACTCCCAGCAAGTAGAGGGAGAGGTAAGAACTGAAATCAGAATTCACAAGCAATTCATACTAAATGATCTCGTTCCCGCATATATTGTATCTTTTTTTCAGGGACACCTCTGGATTCTAAAACTTTTCAATCATATGCGACTTTCCATAAGAAACAAAATGAAATATAACTTGATAGGGTGCAATACTACATGTAGGAGTTTATGGGGGCACATACATATGTAACACCCTGTACTTATAGTAAAGAAGCACAAGTGCCGAAAGGGAGGATCAAAGAGCAGTACAAGACACGCGAAGAACAACCAAATGCAAAACCATTTAGTTTAGGAAAACAATCCCCAATATCCAAAAATTTGATCCGACACACAATGAAACATTATTTTGCATTTTACTCTTCTACCATTCAGGAATCAATATTACAATTCAGATCATAATTCATACTGAAGCCGTTGCAGAAAATGTGGAGGACAAGTTTACAAGTAATATAAATTATCAAAACAAAACCAATCAAATGAATGAACATGAGTATTTTCACACCATGAATACGCCATTTCTCAGCAAAATAGTATGTTGAACGTTAAGGTCCCGGCAATAACGATATTATAAATTCGATTCTCCGAGATATCTATCCTCTGTACTTCTATTACACTGGTGATCCACTCGATTACGCTGGTTACCAAAACGAACCGTTTTGGTAACAAAATGTCGGAACGTCGAAGGCACGATTTTTCTTTTTTCCTTATTTCACGCATTGTATGCAGAATCCCCACGACGTTTTTTCTCAGAACGTGCATCAGTATCATATGTTTTAGAAAATGTACATGTTTGCGAAAAAATAGCTCAGAAGACAACAGGATCGTCGATTTACTTCCTCACTTAAGTTACATAAACGGTTTTTCGAAAAACAGTTAAGATCTGCACTTTTAACCGAAACCGTTTGTGTACAATTTCTTAAACATATGATACTGATACACGTTTGTGTTAAAAAATGTCGTGGGAATTCTGCCTACAACGTGTAAAATAAGGAAACGAGAAAAATCGTACCTTCGATGTTCCGACATTTTGTTACCAAAACGAACCGTTTTGGTAACCAGCGTAATCGAGTGGATCACCAGTGTATTACCTAAACAGATTTCCCTAAATGTCAGACCTAAAAGTCTAATATGGAAGATATCGTTTCGGTGGCCGAACTGAAAACAATAAGAAAAATGTTTAACTGTATCGCACTTTAGCGCCAATCTCCTGAGAGAAGTTATTAACAGAGTATAGAAGAAACTTTTGATTTGATAAAGATGAGAATAGAAAGGTCCTATTCTTAGAATGAAAGTCTCGCATTTTGAAAATGTGTCTTGATAACTTCTATTCGTAGAAACATTGAATAAACTGTTGAAAATGAGCCAAACGCTTCTTGTAATTACAACATTTCCATATCCCAAGAATTAATCCGTCAGAAACAATTGAAATCTTGGGAATATTGTACTAAAATAGCATCTTCTTTACAGATAGACTAATTAGGTTTTTCTGAAAATTTCTTAATTGGACATTTTAGAACAATCATTTTTGTATTCCTCACAACACGGGGTTTGGTGAAACTGTATCCTCAACACTGTAATGAACACAATGTAGTTATAATATTATCGTTATTCATACTTAGGTAAGGTACTATCTAGCGTGATGCCTTGTCAACTACCATTGGTGTGGAACGACGAAAAAGCGTCGTGCGATTTGGAGAAACGAACCCCTAACTGCAATGCATCTTGTCATGAAAGTAAGACACTTTTAGATAATAAATAAGGAAGAAATACTCCAGAATCCAAAAGAGAACCATGTTAAGATGAGGTTGATATTTACATGCGATATGTTCATTTATGAATTCTGGGGATACCCTTTTCTCTTATTTAATATTATAGTGTATATTATTAAGAAATATGAGAAAAAGCTTTAAAAATCCTCAACAGTATTGAAGAATTATAAATGCATTATACTATTATTGATGATCGTTTTTCTTAAAATGTTGACAAGTTCCCAATCATCTTAATTATTATTGGGAAAATTATTACTTTTTATATTTATTGTTCATGATTCACACATGACATCGTCTATACATGCTACAAGTGAGTTATTAAATAATTGCATTTCAATTTTAGGGGCGTTTACGCTACCCCCAGCGACACTGCCCCCCATGAACGACTCGGGTGAGTGTGAGGTTGAGACATCCTATAATATAAAATAGATAATACAATATTATAATAACAATACTTCCAAAGTACACATCCTGTAATTTTTGCCAAGTATGACAAAAGAAAAATAACAGCTAAGTACGCTCGCCTTCAGATGTTTGGGAAACCCATTTCCCCATTGGATCAACACGTGTAAACGTCTTAATTGCGAAAATCGACATAAACATGGTTTAACGATATCGGTTGCAAAACTTTTGAAGAAGAGTGTACGATCCAAATATTGATGTTTTAAATTGTCTTTAAAGTTGAATGCTTCGATGGAGTGAATGCGATAAAGCTTGACGATTTAGTAGATCAACAATGCTTTAAGATATTCCCATATGATGAGCGACAAATGCCAACTTGCTGTCGGGAAAATGAAATATTGGACCTTGAAGAGTGCGCTTGTATTGGGCAACGTAGGTATATATTTACAAGGTGATCCTAAAGTAAGATGAAAACCAATCATTGTTAACATTAATGAATCTGGCTAAATGTAAACATTGAAAATACACCATGGGTTCAACAAAATAGCACCTGCATTTCATCCCAAGATACGATGCAACAGTTGGAAAGTCTTTAGAGGCTGTTATTAACTTAATGACTTATTTTGCTTCTAGCTCGGTTCCCGGGATGTGATTGTATCTTCTGCCTTGTATTTGAGTTGAACGAGATCAGAGATGTCGTGAACACATTGCACATAAATCACACCGGTATTGTATTATTTTGATAATTAAACATCCCTCACAATAAGTTTGGCAATTCGAGGTTCTCGTCAGTTTAAATACTTTCTTTCTTTGAATCCCAATCTTGGTCTTCAAATACAATAGATCGGATTCATGACTGTTTTCATTAACTGATTTGGTAAGAAATGAATTTTCGGATGTATATTGATATTTCTGAGCACAAGAACGGGGTTCAATCCATATCTTTCTATATCATACAAAAACTCTGCTATGTTTCTCTTGTGTCTGTAATTACTGTCAGTAGTTGTTCTAGCCGATTATGCTTTTGTTGTTCCAGGTGTTGAATTGATAGAGTATGCCATCAACGCGTCTATGCACAAGGCACAATTCAACGGCATAGACGGCTCAATAAAGATACCCCATTTTGAGAATATGTACTATGGCCCAATATTCTCAATGCATCTTTTCATTGAAATTCCAAATAAGTGAGTCATATTCTAATATTGATAATTTGAATTATCGTATGATATGTAAAATGAAGCCCTTTGATTGATCAGATCTTGTGCTGTACCAATCTGGATTGATACTAAGGTTGTCCCCATTGATCATCCCGTATAATAATACAGAAAATTTGGGTATGGAGGGGACAATCTCAATAGCAATACAGAGAAAATAGGATATTTCTTAGGGATTATCTCCTTAGTGAAATGTATTGGCCTAAGAACACATGATAAAAGACGAATACTGAATTTATCAATCACAATATATCATGCATTGCACTTCAAATCATTCAATAACTTATGGAAAACTAACCAAATTTTTATTCCAAATATCAACTATAAACGAAGTCTTTTGACTTGAATTTTAATGGACTATACACTCAAATACTTCAACGTATGCAGAAAAAGATTTCTGCTCAGATATTTTTTATCGTATCCCATATTACAATACATTACACTATATCATGTTATATTATATTATTGTTATTTTCTGAAAGATAATTTGTAATTCATACCCCGTTATTATATGATATCATATCGCATAAAAAGCATAGTGTACTAAGTATGTGATCAAAATTATTACACTTCATCATGTTATATGATTTTAGTTATATTAATATGTTACGTATATTTGATTTATAGATATGAGGTAAGCGGCTTTGTGGATGCACCGTTGAAAGGCATAGTGAGTAATGGATGCTGTGGGAAGAATGGTACGGTGGAGATATGGATAGAGGGCGGCCACATCTACCTCACTATCATCACAGAAAAAAGAGCATTAAGAGCATACAAGTTCAATGTAGATGTGCGTAAGATAATCTCAAACACATTATTTAGTTTCTGATGTCTGTATTTGGATTGATTTTGTCATTTTTTTAATCTTAGAGTGCCATTCAGAGGGTGGAGATTTGATTTTAAAATGTCAGCGATATCTTAAATTCCTCACCACCAAGTCGTATGAAATGCATTTTTGTATTTCCTCTGGGAGTTAAGCTGGAATAGAAAAGGTGTTCATTGAAAGATGACAGCGCTGTGAACCTGTTTTGTATATCTTCCAAAAGAGGAGGGAAACCCCATGATTCAATTGATAACATACGATTTCCTCCTTCGCGCACCTCCTTTCCCGGAAGTACTTACCCTCCATCTCTGTTTCTCCCCCTCTTATCTTCCAAAGAGAAAATATAAACATGCATTACTGCCATTTTTATATTGGCCTAAAACATGTGGTTTATATGAACAAAGGTATTTCTTTCTGTTTCTGAGAGCAAATTACCTTTTTTACTCTCAAGTATGACTTTAAACATTTAACTGTCATCAATATCATTGTCTTAATTTTGATTGTGCTAATGATTGTTTGCGGAATGGGATCGACTCTGTTTGAATAGTAATTGTTGAGATGTTGGGGTTTGTTTTCCCTGCCTGTTTCCTAATTTGTGCTTTCTTTTCAAATCTTTGTTTTACCCTAAACATAGTTGTGCTAATTTATGATAATACATCTTGATTCACAACGTTTCAGTTGCTTAAACTTGATATAACCACCTTTTTATTTATTTATTTCATCCACCAGATTTGGTGTGTATAAATAAGGTTTTTACATTATTTTACTTTCAATTAAAAACATAAAACTGAAAGGTTGTAAAAACATTTATCAACTTTCGATAGTGTGTATTGCATAAATCAATCGATCCAGATTGAGATGTCTGATGTACTCGTATAAATTAAATTTTGATTAACATTCTACTACAGCCGGAAGAACTCATTGCCGGCCAGGAATTGGACCTTAACTTTGCTTACTCCGATCCACTGTTGAGAGTAGCATTTGCCATGGAGCCTCACGAAGATATAGCATTAGGAGGTGAGGTTAAAATTAAGTGTTCTATTTCCCAATTAAGATGTGTATGATTAAGGATTTAACTTATATCCATTTATGCTTTCGTAATGCTACATAAAAAATCATTTTCAGGTGATATTGTGCCGACTGGTTGCCCATTGTCTCTTGGGACACTGAACGATCTCCCAGGCACATACTTCGATGGTGTAATGGAGGATGTAAGTGCTTTCACACTACTATACCTTGCATTAGGTGTTCATGAGCAACCCATTTGGCTTATTAGTAATGATTATGTATTTGTTTTTATTTGTCTGTTCCTTATGAATGGTTTATCGGTTGAAAATTAGATGCTAGTAAGGCACTTTCAAAAATATATAAAACAATTCAATTAGACAAACAAAGTATCTTATGCATTTCTAGGTGTTAGGTATAGTAGTGTGGCTTTGTATGTTATCTCACCACCAAAAGTGGTGACATAATTTTATATAGTCTCCCATTTTTGTGGACGGTGTTCGACGTCTGTAACATGGCGTCTTTAATAAATGACATTAGATGACATTTTGCATGTTAGTGGCTTATTATTCATTGAATGAATCTCGTATGCTTAGCACAGAGAGGTAAAAAGTTAGACATATTGAGGCGCAAAAAGTTGAAACCTGTTTCGTGTTAGACTGACAGAAATTTTATAAAATGAATTGTAATTGACGATATTGAACAATAAAAAATCATAAAGGGAGACATCTCATAGTAAACGTTCCCAAGTTACATTGCGAGTTACAATTCCACTTCACGTTCTTATTTCTTGCTTCAGGGAAATATAAAGTTTCAGTTAGCCTTCCCATTCACATTTACTTTCCTTATTAGGTTATTGCATGTAGAGACAGATGGACCGATGCACAGATCTTTGCATTACAACAGCACGACAAAAGAGCTGTTTTGTGTACACCTTAGACACTCATGTATACTCCAAAACAACGGAATACTATTGATGAGAGCGAACTAAATAGAGATGCAGTATAGATGAGGTAGTATCTTTAACACTGTAAAATTGTGTTGTTTGTGTTGAAATTGAATGAACATTGAAGAATATGTTTGTTTTTTCTTAACATATGAAAGCAACGCCATTTTATGTATGTTAAGGATAGTATTTACTGTTTATATTTAAATCTGATAAAAGACTCTGATGTTTTCACATTTACAACAAACGTTTGATGATAACATAGAAGAGTTGTACGGCTATTCAGTACATCCGTATTACTATTACTTATTATTGTGAAAAAGAATAAACTCCATGATGGGTGGAAATAAGCATTATTGTAACCATTTTTCTATCTATTTATTTCATCCACCATCTTTTCTGTGTAAAATAAAGTTTTTACATTATTTTACTTTCAATTAATAACATCCAAAATACAATTTATTTATAATTATAGACCAGTATCTGATATGTTTATATACATTCTGTGTGCAGCAATTTGCTTATATTCATCCAAATCAAATGTCTCCCCTGCACCAAAACGTGCTACACAATGAGTATACGGTATAACGCGCGGTGACGGTAAGGTACTGTACATCACAATGAATTAGATTTTGCGTTATACCGCATCTTAAACGCACGTTACACCATATACTACATTCGGAGTTTGTGTATATTTAACTGAAATACACCGTCAATTTCACTTTCTAGGATATTGTTACAGACATCCACATATAAATATATCTAAAATTAGACCAGATCTTTCTGAAACGATGAAAACATCAGTTTGCTCTTTCGTCACCCTCTTGTTGTACCGTACCCCGCGCGTTCATCTGTCACGCTTAATTTGGTACGTACCCTGTGTATATAGGGATTATTATGCCAAAAGAAATTTAGTAGTCAGTGTGCTGTGTATAGATGTAAACATATAGATCGAATGAATATATTACTGGCAGCATATAAAGGGTAAAAATGTAGATAATCAGTTCCAAAACCCATAGTCCTACAAGTGAAAATTGTAAAATTGCATTTGTAGTCTATATTTGCAAGGTGTAATTTACAAAGGAGCACGTAGGTTATCGCAAACAGTTTAAAACGATTCTTATTTGAATTATGAATATTTTCTGATCATCTTTTAGGTCCATTCATTATCTTCAAGAAAAGTATATATAATGATAATTTAGTTAATGAGACCTAAGTGATATTGAAGGGGCAATGGACCAATCAACATACTTTTTCAAAAATGCTGACCTAATTTTCACCAAAAAATGCAACCTTTTTTCATATTGTTGAATGCATAATTAGAATGTGCTTTGAGACATGTTCGATTTCCTAAAAGAAAAAGTTGATTGCTCCAGGGACTTTAAAGATACTGAATTTGGATGACCAAAATGAACTGAAACCAATGGATAGCATGAGATTTTTCAATGGAGAAATAACATGGGGAACACTTATCTTGAAGCAAGTTTTTCTTTCAAGAACTATTCGATACATCAAAATAAAGAATAATAATGCATTAAACATTGTAAAAATGATTGCATTTTGCAATGGGGTGAAAATGGGGTCAACATCTTTGAAAAAGTGTATTGATGGGTTGATTGCTAGTTAAATATCTCCGAGTTTGCTTGACTTTATTGTTACTGTCTATAATTTTCTTTGAGATAATGAATTGATCTAAAAGATAAACCTGTCTTCAAAATAGCCATAATCTAAGATATAACCTTCTTAAATTGTTTGCGATAACCTACGTGCTCCTTCCACTCTACTTTGATATACTTTGGACCTCATTTTGCTGAATAATTTGGATTATTCAAATACCCAATAGTAAAAAGTAAAACAAATGATATGAATTCCAATTGGAAAGGTGGAACAGCAACATCCTACAAGTGTGTGACTTGATTTGTTACTTGTGATATTACAATGTGAACTTCATGTTATATGAATACATTTATAATGTCTCAACCCAGCTCATGTAGATCTTGCGAGGGGCAGTTTCTTAAATGATTTCTGGTTTCCAATTATTGTGAATACATCTTGAAAATAGTTGTCCCTCAAATTTTATTTTAGTGAATTTTAAAATTCTTAAATGGAAATGAAATTAGTTCGAGTTTCTCTGGGACAGTGTGGGACTAAATATTCCCATTGTAGTTAACTCAACAGTTTTAAGTATTTAGTTGTGTTTCTCGAGTCTATTCAGCATGTCATCATTGGTGGCCATCTGTTGATGTTCACAACAATGTGGTTTATGTACCCCACACAAATTTTTGTCAGATATTTATCTACATAACATCAAACTATGCGAATAAAACGTGTGTTTCGTACTAATATTAGCATTATTATACTCTTGTTGGTGAAACAGATAGTGGGAAAAACCGAAAGACTTAACAAGACAATGGGCTGAAATGCGCACTCTCTACTACTCACTTATTTCTCATCCTCTCATGTCCATGTTGTTGGCTTCACAGAATATGTAATATATTTTATTTCTCTTAATGTTGATTTATATCTAAATACCATTATAGGTCTTGTAGAAGTGTTTAAAATTATTCTGTACTATTTTACAATTGTCAACCTTTATATTACACAGATGAAAAAGGCATGTTGGACTTTGACTTTGATGTCCAAGGTAAATATTGTCATATTCTTTTCTGGTCTTCCTTTCATATATACATTTGTGTTTTAGTAAACAAACTTCTTTTAATCCACTATTTATAAGAAATATACAATAGACATGCAATAAGATGACCTGGGTCTTATTAATGAATGTTGTTATTATCTTGTAAATGTTCAAAATTGTTATTTAGAGCTTTTGTAGTTTCTTTTATAAATATTTTCTGATATAAATATAACAAACCTCTTTTTTAACATTAACATATCAAAAATGCAGATCTTTAAAATACATAACAGCTTCTCCAAATTAGTGGTGAAAGAAAAGTTCCCGTCACTTCAATTGGACAAATATTCCGTATATTCTTGTTTTGCTGATGATGCTGTCATTTGTTTATGTAGCATTTTGCGAGATTGCATGTGAACAATTCAATGGAGGATATTTCCCCTACCCAGGCGACTGTTGCAGATTCATAATATGTCAGCGACTTCCAGCAAGTAGAGGGAGAGGTAAGAACTGAAACCAAAAATCACAAGCAATTCATACTAAATGACTCCGTACCCGCACACATTGTATCTTTTTCAGGGACACCCATGGATTCTGAAACTTTGCAATCTTATGTGACTTTCCATAAAGAAGAAAATGGCATATAACATGATAGGGTAGCAATGCTACATGTAGGAGTTTATGGGGGTACATACTGTACATATGAAACACTATGTACTTATAGCTGATAAACACAAGTGCCGAAAGGGGGGATAAAAAAGCATTACAAGTCACACAAAGAAAAAAAAACAAATGCGCAACCAATTAGATTAGGAAAGCAATCTCAAGTATCTCAAAATATGATCAAACGCACAATGAAACAGTAGTTTGCACCCTCCTTCCCAACTAAACCATTTAGGAATCAACATTCATTTTCGCAAACCTCACTGAAATGAACATGAATGCAGTTATAAGTATTGTTATTTATAATTAGGTAGGGTCATATCAAGCGTGATGCCTTGTCAACTACCATTGGTGTGGAATAACGAGAAAGCTTCGTGCGATTTGGAGAAACGAACCCCTAACTGCAATGCATCTTGTCATGAAAGTAAGACACTTTGCGATATAATAAATAAAGAGGAAATACTCCAGAGAAAGGAGAACATGTGAAGATGTGGTTCATATTTACATGCGATATGTTAATTGTCCATCTATGAATTCTGGATTACTCCATCTCTTATTTAATATCATAGTGTATATTGTTGACGTTTTTATAGTTATTCACACTACTATACTTAACACCTAGAAATGCATAAGATACTTTGTTTGTCTAATTGTATTGTTTAGTATATTTTTGAAAGTGCCTTATAAAAATCTAATGTCATCCGATAAACCATTCATAAGGAACAGACAAATAAAAACAAATACATAATCATTACTAATAAGTCAAATTGGTTGCTTATGAACACCAAATGCAATGTATAGTAGAGTGTTATTGTTCATGAAACACATTTGATATTTTCAAAAACCTTAAAATGGACCTCCACAGGTTCCACCGTCTCTACATGCTACAAGTGAGTTATTAGATAATTCCATTTAAATTTTAGGGGCGTTTACGCTACCACCAGCTACAGCGCCTCCCATTAAAGACGACTCGGGTAAGTGCAAGGTTGGAATATAAGATAAAACAAATATGCTCTTAAATATCGCCCCATCTGGTTTAGTAATAGAATATACTGGCCAAACTGCCCTAATACGTCACTTCCGCTGAATACGTCACTTCCGCTGAAGAAAAAAGTAGTTTAAAAAAATGAATGTAGTCCCAACACAATTGTGATCATGACGAGTCAGTAAGCTAGTATGTAGGTACAGTTGTCATCTTTTTGCAAAGACAACATGCCATTTCTTCTGAAAAAGTACCCTTTGCATTCGTTTGACTTCACTTCTTAAAAGAGAGCTTCGTCTTCACTCTTTCAAACTAAAATAAACCTGTGAACTCACCGCGCCAATCAGTGTTCGTCGGCCAAATTTGACAGACGTTCTATATATGGCCATTCCCTCTGACGTCATCGTTGAGCCCGGAATTGACCAATGACATGCGCATATTTAATTAAAACGCATTTAGCGTATGTTTCTTCAAGCTCGCTGATTGGTGGAAGAAAGGTCAGCGCGTAGGTCAGAAGTGATTTATTACCCAAACTGTCACCGGTACCCATCGTGGGGGCGGGGCTACTAAACTGTAATATGGTCTCTACTAGGCAGAGTGTAGTTTAACTAGACTCGTTTAACTAGACTCTGCACGCAGGGTACTGAAAAAGCGTTTATTTGGGTTATCTGAAGGAAATTTCGAGTCAAGTGGCGTATTAATTTTGCCTTGAATTTTGTGAATTTCAATTTCTATCGGCAGAGAGAGGGGGTAGTGTCACAATGGACCAATTATTTCAAAAAGTAGATGTTTGGCCCCTATTGAGTTTAATGTCAAAATGTAGCTTAGACAATTGACTAGTATGGTGACGTGAATTGGGGCAGTTTGGCCACTGTCAATCAATTGAAAACTGATATCTTGGCACCTATGTTTATGGGTGCTGGCCAGATATAAAAGTGGCACACTATCAAGTGCATGTAAATAAAGCGACCGACGCAGGGATTTTTATCTCGTCTCGACACTAAGCTTGTAGCTGAGGCCCGGGTATACAGGGTATGGGTATACAGTCATTTTAAAAAAATCAGTCTCATCCTTA